GACTCCTTCACAGACGTTGCCAGGCGAACCGCACAGAGGCGACTATCAACAGGTATCCAGTCAAGTAAGGATACTTCCGCCCGGTGACTTGGGACAATACCAACCCCTGCACATCCCACCGCAGTAGCCTCTGGATCACCAGATGTGCGTAGCCGGAAGCGGGTGGAGACTGACGGGGCGGTTGACTCAATCACCGTGCTTGCATCTTGAATTCTCGTTTCTGAGACACAGCACACATCAATGCCAAGCGAGTCCAGTGCGAGTGCAAGAGCAGCTTGTTGTCCTGCTTGTTTCAGAGTGCGAACATTGAACGCGGCCAGATAGAGTGGGTGTCGAGGCCTGAGGACTGATTTGGAGATTCCTGAAGATGTCGGCACCATGTGACGAGCAGATGCTGCACGCGAAACCGATGCATGACGAACGGAGTCATCAGTCCCAAGTGCTGGGCCTGCAAGGATAGAGTTAATAATGGGGTGGGGAGAGGTGGAAGAAAAAGTACGTGAAGGAGAGAGAAGGGAGGCGTCAGCAGTAGCCTGTTTTCGCTTACCCGCCCTGCTGTATGCAGCAAGTAAGGCGACCCGGCTGATGATCTCGAAGATATCCAGTTTTAATTGAGTCGGGTCAGATGGGCTGGACAGATGTGAAAGCTGACAGCATTTCTTCTTTAACTCGCCTCTATTCATCTTCCAAGCAATCTTCCCCTTCCACATAACTATGCGTTTACAGTAGAACTCGTCAGATCAGCTCGATAGTCTTCAGCTACTGAAACTTGTCGAAGTTGATGAACGGAGCTGCTCTCTTTCGGCATCTCCATCGATAACTGATAGCCATATGGTCCAATTGAGTCCACGACTGTCTTGTGTTAGTTGGCCTCCAAGTAACTCGGTGTGAGCGTTTGTGTTGGAAGTTGGTACTGACCAGGAACAACTGATGATCTGCACACAACTAAAGAAGCTGCTCTCCATTATGCTCAGTATCGGCTCCAAATTGACCACATAACTGTGCTCCTTCCCTACTTAGTCGTCCGACTTGGGCATTCATATCACCAGCCAGGATTACTATATTCGTCTATCTCGCCGACCAAAGCAGTCGTGACAGATCTTGATAAAACTCATCCTTCTCAGTTTCAAAACTGCTATCTGTTGGGGCGTACTCTGATACGGAAAACAAACACCGTTTACCACATCGACCTGCATTAATCTTGAGTCAGACAACCGCACAGCGCAAAGTCGACTGTTTACTAGGATCCAGTCCAGTAAGGCACTTTCGGCCTTGGGGCTGGGTGCAACTCCCACACCGTAGATACCACCAGCCATTGCGTCAGGATCACCGGATGCCCGAGGAGTGAAATGTGGAACATTTGGAATATGCATGTGGAACATGGCAGCAATGAAGCCCGACCACCACAACGACGTGTCAGCTTTGGGTCGGGCAACCGTGGCTGGGGGCAACTTGACTCGGTTTTTACTTTTAAGGCTGTACTTGACCCAAAGGTGTCACCCTGTGGTTTTCGGGATCAAGCTCTGCAGCGATTTTGCCACACTGACTGGCATTCAGTTCCTCCAGGTTCAACCCTACGAAGGCCGTTTGGGAGTAAACTGACGAAGAAATGCGAGTCCCCGTACTGCGGGGAGTTGTGTTGCAGGGCTATGTGGCGGTAAAGTAGTACTGATCTCTGCGAAAAGAATAGGAGCGCAGTAATGCGTTTCCTAATGGAAGAAGTGATGCTGCCTCCCCCTAGGAAGGACATGTCAGAAAGTCGCCCAATGGTTAACCGTGACGGTCGGAGCATTACTAAAAGGTTTTCAGAAAAAATACTAAAAATGTTTTCAAAATGAAAGTCCTGTACTAAACAGGGGGCACCTGTTGTTCGCAGCCGCATTTGGAATCAAATAATTAAAATTTATTCTCTGCACCCTCGTGATAGGCCAGTTGCCTGCATCCATGTTGGTCACAGTTTTTAGTCACTGGTTCATGGAATGGTCCCCCGAGAAAACCGTAGCAACCGTTGTTTTGCGATTCAGACTTTTCAGTCAGGGTAATCAAACAGGATTCTGCTAACCCCAACAGCCTTGTTGGTCAGACGTTTGAGACAAAGGCTCAATGTAGGATGCCTCAACCAAACCAACCTTGAAATATCATTCTCCCGTGCAGCTTCTCGGTCACCGGTCCCTCGATATCTGCCCATCCATCGAAGGGTGCACTGCGGTCAGTCCGTCTGCCAGTACCGGTACCAAAATAAGCCATTATTACCTCAGGAGATCTGATCTACGTTACAGCCTTCTGTCAAATTGGGTAACAGGCCTCTGTCTCTGAAACCTTGAATCCTCCCTCTATCGATGTTTGCTGTGTCTCCGAAATACGCATAAAAGACCTCACCTCTGTGATGTACATCAAGTCACTTTAGATGAGCGCAACTGCTCCACACTTCAATCTTCCGGCATTTGCTGGTCCTGACGCAATGGCTTGAGGTATCTATGGCGTGGTGCCGCACCCATCCCCAACGCTAAAAGTACTTTACTGGACTGGATCCCAGTAAAGAGTCATCTTTGGGCTGAACGACCAACACAGGTTGATGCGGTGTTTGCTCCTCTCATCCGTGTGTGCCTCGACAGACTGCAGTTGTGAAATTAGGGACGAATTTTACCGAAATCTGTTGCGATTGCTTCGGTCATCAAGAAGAAATATAGTCATCATGGTATGATATGGACGCCCAGGTTCGTCAAATAAGTCTGTAAGAGAGACAGTTTGGCGATAGATTTGGAATTCTAGCTCATAGTATAGATAAGGGGAAGCGGCTCCTTTAGTTGCGTGCTGAACATCGTCTGTTCCTGGCCAGTACGAACTTCCAGCTTAAACCCTCATACTTAATTGGAGGCATCCGACCGTAGGACAGTCGTAGAATCTGTCTGACCATGTCTCTGTCGGCTACCGATGGAGAGCTTCAGTTAACGATTGCGGGCGATATGGCTCATGTGGTTAGAGCGCGAATTTACTGACCGGAAGGTCCGTGGTTCGAACCCGACCACTGTCTCTCGACTTCCCCTGTCTAGGCTTGGGCAGCCTGACAGTATCCCAGCCCTCGTGCTTCCCTCGGGTGGCATGGCAGCTAGGCACCGAATGGGCGCTACAGCTGAACGATTATTTATTTCATTTATTATCACATCATTTGCCGTCATTATTACGCGTACCGAAGCAAAGCACCTCCGTTCGTCAACTTGAACATCTTTCAGTAGCTCAAGAGTGACGATCTAATCTGGCTAAAAAGCCGATCAAAACACGCCGCCATGCTCGGTCAACGGTTGGTTAAAGGTTGAATGGGAAAAAGTCGAAGAGGCTATGCGGTAAGCTCTCAGAACTGTCTCTTCGAAACCGCCTAACCCGAATAAACGAACAGTGGATATCTTTGAGATAACCATGTCTTAATTCTGCTAAAAAAACAACATAGGCGACTTTAATGGTGCGCATAAATCCCTCAAGCACCGGATAATCAAGAACTTGGAGAATGACAGAGAACGCTAGTGGATTACTCAGGCCTGGGAGATGGAGAAGGGTTCCGCTGCAGGCGACAGCCACGCCATATTTCAGCTGATTCGATCAACCGTTCAGCGAAACGGCTTGCGAAAAAGACGCAGCAGCAGTTCACTCATAAGATCGTCGTCTTGGGCGATGGACTGAACACTTCAAAGAACAGTTCAACTGACCTGCTTCAACACTACCTCTGGGGAACAGGGACACTAGCTGGTCGTCAACAACAGAAATCCAGCGTGAGACATCACTCCAACAAACAAACAGCGCACCCGAGCTATCCATATTCCACAACATTGCCGATATCACTTCTCCAGCGATAGAAGGTAAGTCAGTCGTTGACCATTGATGTAGCAGAAGCATTGGTCGGGTCTGGTGGGGACATCGGACTAGCATTGCGGAAAAAGGAAAAAGGAACTCCCCCAACTTGAATGAGTCGCTCGGGCTTCATAAGTTACGCTGGTTTTGACATATCAGAAGACTCTATGCTTCGCAGAGCTCTTTTCGTACTTTTCTGTGTTAAATGGAAGCGACTGGGAGGCGGATATTCTGATGTGGTGACGAAGAATGAAAACGTTGACTGCCGAATTCAGTGTATAGCTTCCTAGTTTTCCAAACTGTTTTTTGCCTCTGATACCGTCTCCCCTGCTCCCCCATATTCCAGTGACGGAAAGAGTTGCAGCTGGAACTAATGTATCCTTGGTGCATGTTTTATGGCTGATAATGTAAACTGAACTGCTCCACGAAAGCACTCCCCTATAAATGTCATTGGGATAAATTATCTCAATATTCGGCTTCTACCGCTTACTGGTTTTCGCTTATTTTTTGCTGTGATCTATCCTTCCAGTATTTCCTTCACAATTTAGCCTTTTTGTTGGCTCCAGCACTCGAGCTTTTGTGTATTATGTCAAAGACTGGAAAAGCACACATTATTGATAAGGCGCAAATTCCTGCAGCAATAAACGACGAGACCGATACGTTACCTAATGTGATTGCCTACAAGCAGCTGGAGTTTGAGGCGGGTGAGGCTGACCATTTTCGGATAAAATATGATTTCTTCGCCAGGTGTACTTCATCAGGCTGCGAATGCTTTCCAGAAACATGTCGAATCAGAAGTCTCTAAGACACATCAGCGTCTGCTAAGTCTGGAGGATGATCTGAAGTACCCATCGTTTTCACCCATGACTTTTCTTAGATTTGCCAATTCTCACTTAGAGAATATGGAACGCACACTTGATACGCTTCTGACACAGTCCACATCAAGTTCAGGAGAAATAACTTCTTCACGAAGGATCCGTGGTTTGGAACTGGAAATCGAAAACAAAGCAAGTTTGCAAACTATCTCGCTTCATGCCGTATTCAGATGAAGCAGATCGATGTCCTCAACTCTCGAAAACAATCACTGTTGTCCAAACTGTCAATGTTGCAAGATACGTCTCTCAGCGATCAGCCCAGCTTGTTGGCGTATTCACAAACCACGGAAAGTAAGTTGTCAGTTGACTGTTCATGGTGCCGCATGTTGATTGAAACCGACTGTTTTACACCAGACCTATGCATGGTCCTTCGATACTGATTATAATTTTTGAAAAAGGGGCGTCAGTTTTCTCAACCACTGTCATCGTACTGGTGTTCAGTGACCACCTAGAGCGCTTTTTCTATTAGCCTGATTAATAGTTGTGAAAGGAAACGGAACCTTACATTTTCTGGATGTATGTAACTACACTTTCTTTCGATTACCTCTTGGAGCAAGTACACCCTCAGCTGAATCTCCATCTAAATCTAATGGGGCTGCACAATCTGACTCCCCTTGCGATGTGAAATTATTTTCCAAAGGACTTCAGTTTTGCAGCAAACTAACCAGAAATTTACGGCATTTAGCGATGATGGCAGGCCTCACAAATGTGTAATTTTGTGTGCGTGGGCCGTTTGGTGGGGACCTAAACCACTTAGTGGATAGAAACCTCTTTGTCAAAGCATCTGTGTCATTGGGAAATCAGCCGACCAAACTTAACCGTTCGGTTGGTACTATCCGCTCAATAGCTATTGGACTACTTGACGCAAAGGCGTTTAAATCGCCGACCAAACTGAAGCGACCAGCCATGTATGTGAACCATTGCCGCCACATAACCGTACTTATCTTTCGTATGTATTATTCTACATCCAGTTGCGCATTTTTGCGTCATATCTCTCGTCTTTGGTAGTTTGAAACGGTGAGTCTGCCGACAATCGATGAAAACACTGGAAATATGGGGATTCTAATCCATTTCACCATCACGGCCAGTAGTTAGGTAGCAAGACATTAACGTTTCAAGTTTCATCGATTAAAAGTACTAGTTTCGTGGACAAAAAGCGTTGTAACAGACGGAGAGCGCCGAACTTTACAGTCCGTCGTGTAAAAGAAGCCAGAGTGAGGTCAGCTCTAGAGTAAGGACAGTTTGAGCCATTGTTGTTGTGCTATGACTGACGTCGCTTCACAAAATAATCTTAGCTTCGGGTTTTCGCTATGTGGAATAACTTGGAAGTCTTGAGAAGGTTAAATTATGGGACCTGTTTCGGGGATATTTCGCGTAATTGATGACCCTCCGTTACGTGCCACAGATGTTGGGCCCTTATCTACGAGCTACACCGCTCGTTCGAATTTTTTCGGAAGTGATCCGCTGATAAAGGCGCTGGTCTGTTCTATGTATCTCACTGCAGCTGCAAGTAAACTGTCGGATGACGTGTGTGGTGGAGTGGTCAGTCAGTCCGGTTACGCTTGGTGACTGCAAACAGAGAACTTTCGTTTCGGACGAAGTCCAAGAATATGCTTGACCTTTCTACCGTGTTTGTCGCCCTTCAATCACAAGATTAATTCATTCATTCATTAGTGCTTTTAACCCTCACAGGGCGTCAGCCTTTAGTATTGAGAAAAGAGCAGACCAAATGGAAGATCCAGGATAGTTAGGTTCAACGACCATCTTATTCAGTAGATTTACTCTCCATTTTTCCTTGGCCCGGACTGCTGAGGCTAATTGACAGAGCATTGGGTCAGTTTCTCTCATTGTATTGGACTGGTTCCTAAATGCTCTTCGGAATTGAAACCTTTATCCCACAAAACCACGGGGTCCATAATCACGTTCTCTACAATGAGAGACCACATCAACTTTACACAAAACTAATTTTCTGCTACCACAGGTTAGCACCAAGATGAATTTAACGCCACAAATCCGCTACGGTGCTTTACTATATGTCAAATTTTTGGGACCCCATGGTCCGCTCAATGAGTAATCCTCTTGAACTACGGGCTCGTTGACAACGCCTCGCTCCAAGTACTAACGGGTAATACTTATATTGGGGTGTAACACTTTATACTTGAGTGATTTTATTGACTTCAGTGGTGCCTCCAAATCAGCGTTCAAGTCTAATCGACGGTTGATGCTGTTGCTCGAACTCAATGTGTCATACCCATTCCAATAGTTTTACATTGCGACTGACGCGCGTGTTGCCATGCTTTTGATTGTAAATTCTCCTTCATCCATTAGGTTCTATCGCTGCCCTCACAACTGCTGCACCGGTGCCCAAACCAACACTCCCCGAGCATAAACGAAAAGGTCCACCCACAATAGTAAAATGTGCGAAATCGCCACCAGTAAAGAAGATCCGCCTCCCTAAACGGCCCATCCGAACTACGAAAAAATTGGATGATGCTAATCTCGAACAGTTTCAGAAACGCTTACGCCGTCAACGACATTTGGATGCATTAGAGCGTCAGCTGGCGAAGGAACATGGTGAGGTAAAAGCTAAGTCCACATTGCATTGCAACTGAAGTTTACCAGATGTCGTTGGCCTTTTCCTGATGTTACTATTTAGGAATTTATCTGGGATCTACCTAAACTGGCAAAGGTCTGGCCGAGACAAATACATCCTCTCTTTACTCTTTTCATTTCCAGGATCCTGACCCCATTCCACCAGATGGGCAACTGGATAAAAATTTCCTTGTACCCGGGCGTATCTGGTCTCGTCTGTTTGAATATCAACGCACAGGAGTGAACTGGTTGTGGCAACTTCATCAGAAACAATGTGGTGGAATACTTGGCGATGAAATGGGTTTAGGCAAAACGATTCAGGTGCGTTCTGTGGATTTTTCTGAAAGTTCACTCATCCAATTCTCGGCACGGAATACTTTTGGGGACCATGATTCCAATACTTTTCACGAAATTTCATTGATGGAAGCAAGTAACCCGTGATTTCCCTTGCTTCCATAGTCAGTGTCCTTTTATTATCTTCCACTGTTTCGTCGTTAGTCGTGCTCAAATTGTCATCACGTACTGAACACTATTTTCAGTAAACTGGTAAGTGTAAATTCAGAGGTAGTCAAGTGTCGTCATGTTGGTCAACTTTCACACCCAACACTGATGGATTAGCTTACATCTCGTAGGTCGCTCAAGATACAGCTCGTATTTGAGACTGCTTACCGACATCCTTCTGCTAATCCAGGCTTAGATCGGTTTGCATGTGCCTTTGAGAGTACTTGATAGCCGTTTTAGGATTATCATTTTATGACATTGAAGGCTTGTTGTATCGTGGGTGGCCGTCTATTGGTTACGCCTGCACTGAGCGTGCCAGACAACGCGATAAGAAGACAGAGGACTTGGGACACGGCTGTAATGTCAGGACAAAACATACAGAGCTTAGTTATCAGTCGCCTAGTCGTTCGCAGTAAATCCACATGAGCGGTTCCATATCGGGACTTTCTTAGTCTGTCGTCGCTGTCAATTTAGTCAACAGGTATATCTTGCTTGAACCTTTCTCATTTTCCGATCCACAGATGTTGCGTCTCCAAAACACGCATACTAGACCTGCCGCTCGGACCGAACCTAGATTTATCGCACTTTGTTCTTCTTTCGTCTCATGGCCCTTGTGTAATGGTCCGTAGTATCTACGGCATGAGAGTTATGCTTAGCTCCAGGTTTGAATGCGTTTGACTGGTTCAATTGAGATCAGTGTATCTCGTCGCAGTAAACGGTGTTTTTTTTGTTGTGTCAGTATGCGCTCCTGCAGATGACAGCTCAGGCTGACGAAGATAGTTTCTATCGATGTTTACCACGGTTGCTTCGGTCAGGGACAAGTACAGGTCTCGTGGTCCTGGAAGTACCTGAGTCGGCCGACTAAGTCCGAGAGAATTCCAGAATAGCGGTTAACTCTGGTTTGGTGTTCAGTGCACAGATACTGGAGAGTGATTCCTTCAATTAAGTGGCGAACACGATTAGTCAGCGCGGACTCTAAGCAAAAGCACTCACCGTGTTACCGGCAGGCCACCAATTACAAGCCAACTCGAGTTGGGCGCACTGTGTGGCGTTCAGTTGTCGATGGAGAACTTCAGTGCAAAATTGTCATTCGGTTTTGAGTACTCCACTCGACTTTGATCCTGGCGCTGTGCAAGAACTCGTTTCGGTTCGCATCCATTTGGGAACACGTGCATTCGTGCATGGCCATTCAGTTTACCTCCAATGTGTCTGTCGCCCAACACTGTTGAACTTATTTGACTGGAAATCTTTCAGGACCAAACAAACACGATGGTAATGAATGTCGATTGCAATGGTAAAAAAGCCACGTTCACAGCTTCTGTGACTGTTTGTTCGAGGTTGCCTGCGCACCAACGAACACAGGATATCGTTATGATCACCAATTCCCATTGACACCAGAAAACATCACCAGCAATAAACGACCACGATGGCCAACGTAGTTTCCTCAAACACCGAGATATGGAGAGTCTAAGGATGGGCATAGAAGACTGGTAGATAGTGAAAGCGGAGTAAGTCTCCGAAAGTGGAGAAAGCTTTCGTACATGAAAAATAGTCGCTGCATACTCCAGCTAATCTGATCAACTAGTCAAGGGACAGTGGACTGAAACGCTCTGGAAAGTGCGGGACCTGAACTCATTCACAAAAACATCGTCTTGAACGATTGGCTAAACACTATTAAGAACGGTTCAGCTGGCTTCAATTTACACAACCCCTGGTAGGATCAGGTGAACCTGAATTGAAATTCGACTCCAGTTTTACACCAGTAACTGAAATCCGGTGTGCGATTTTGTTGCCTCAAGGTAGCGAAGCACCTTTTCTTGACGTTTCGCATCCTGCGTTCTTAAGAGGAATTGAACTCTTTGTGGCTAGCCTGATGAGCTTACTGGAATGAGGATGCCGGATACCGATAGAAACGAGCGCTTCGTTAGTGGTTCCAGTATTCGGTATTCATGCGAAATCCGTAGGGGGATCAGTCTGGCGGCTAGGGTCTCCAAGATTCCTTCTGGTACCATCGTACACAGGTTGATCCTCCTTTGTGAGAGTTAGATTTATGAGAAGCGAGCAGGGTTTTGCGCTGGCCAAGGTTTCTTCTTCACTTTGCGGCTGGCATTGAGCCCATTCTTCCGTCGACCAACAATGGCCGTTTGACTCAATTGTTGCTCAGAAACTTCGGCAGTGCCTTGTGATGTAGGGGGCCCTTTTTAAATTGTTGTCCCTTATGTGGAGTCCGCGTGTACTCCAGCGGAAGTCTCGGGTCCACAACAAACTTCCTCCCGATTTCACCACATTTAGTAGTGTTAGGCAAGGATGCTGTCCTTCTTCAAATTCGAAATCGATGTGCTGCTTGAGTCTTCTTTGTCGGCTTGAAACACTTCGGCAATCGAAATGCTACAGAGGCGTCTGTTTGTAGGCAGTGGGTACCCTAGGGACATTTCCTTCCTTGAGTGAAACAGTTTGGAATTAAAAATTCCAATTAACCTAAGTAATTCAGCTGTGCAGTGTGGTGTACATATTTTACTTGGATAGTATAAAATGCTGCTGCAAAACCGAATGAGGTCATACGGAATTCTGACGCTTGCAGGTGAACTGATCGATGTGGCGGAAAAGTTAGCGTCAGTGCATGGCTTGGAAACGAAGCATGAATGTCCTGTTCAGTCAACTCGATCACGTTGGTTATTGCCTCCACTCGAATGGAAATCCTGAGACAAGGCAAACAGAACTTTAGGGAACCTGACAAACCTAAATTTTGAAGTCATCGGAATCGGGACTAGTTGTTCTCTTGTTGGACCCCTATTTCAGAGAAGTAAATATTGGGATTACCTTATGGTTCTCCCAGAAGGAATTCTTCCAGTAAATTCGGTCACCACTTTTGTTGATCCCTTCAAATCTAAGGTGTCAGGATCCTCCATTGGGGCGTTGTATTGCTCTAACCTCGTCTTATCAAACTGTGCAAAGTGAATCCAACCAATTAGGCGATAAAAAGTAGCGTTCTGTTGTACCAGCTTTTTTCAGTGGTCCATGATGATTTTAATGCACAGCTCTGAGGTCACTCAGTTAGCTCAGAGCACTTGCCACAGCAGTTGATTCAAGCCAAAATGACCTCTCTTTGCACTAGCCTTTCTCGAGGACAGGACGACTGTATATGATCTGAGTTTGTGGTGTAAATTGTAGGGTTTTTGGGTCTTGGTGTTATCCGTCCAAGTAAAACATGGGGAAGTAACTACGAATTTATAGTGTTTTGTGCTTGTGACTGACTAGAGGGGCTGGCGTTGCTGGTTTGCAAATTCCTGTAACTTCAAATTATTTTATTATTGGTGAATCTCCTGTTGCCTACTTCATTCTCCCACAGTCTATCCGTAATTTATCCTTCTCTGTTCTAGATCATTGCTTTTCTCGCTGGACTGCACTACTCGGAGTTTTTGGCGACGAGTAAAAGTGGTCACTTGGGACCTGGACCATCTCATCGGCATAGGTGTGTTTTGCGACTTTGCTCTGCCAGATCTAGGTCGTGTGGCCGTATTATCTGACTAGCTTTCTTATTCGTTCATCTACTTGATAATATTTGTATGTCTCCTATAAAGGTACAGCTAGCCACTATGGGATCATCTGGTTTCTTATTGAGGATACTATCAGGCCAGGTCTGTTAAAATCTATAGGCAGCTTACGACCAATACATGGCACTGATTTCACAACAATCATCCTTGACTGACACTGGTAGCATATGTGTTTGGCCATTCCTTCCGGAAGGAACACCTTTGAGAATCGATAAAAAACCATCGATTCTTGGAGGGCATCACTGCAGACAGAAAATCGAACCGACGAACTAAAAGTAGTCTTTTCCAAGAGGCGATTTTCAACAATGAGAGAGAGCTATGTACCCTGAAGCGCATCTAAAACGAGCACTTGAACAATTGTGTGCGCGTAATCCTGGAAGACGGGTCACATTAAGAATGCCGAAGCGTTTTATGCTATGTTCCCTTTTTCAAATTACATATCTACTAGTTTTCTTTGTATCATTCATGGTTTGAACCGGTATGTTCGTCGTCAACCGTTTTTAAATCTGTTTTCTGTTTCGGCTGACGGTTTTAGTTCACGAACCGTATTGGTTTCATGGGCTTTCAGGATTTGAAATCCCAGCTTATTTTATACCGATGCCTCGGATCATTCCATTCAACTGCACGTTACCGGCAGACTTCACAATCGTCCAACTTGTACTAATCCATGAAAATGAAGCACCGAAAATTGGAAACGGTAGCTTTCTAGAGCTAGCGTGAGATGTACTATTGTCTTTTCTGGAACGGTCTACCAAAAGTGACCTCTTCTTGAAAGCGCTCCGTCTACGCGAGATATTTGTCTCTTTTTATGGCAGCCAAGCATGTCACTAGGCCGTGCTCTAGGAATATGAACCAGCTCCGTGAATTTCGCCTTTCTGCGGTTTTCCTAAATTGTTTCTGCTTTTCGCAGCACGGGCGACTTTGCTTCCGCTCTCATTGTTTGCCCAGCCACGGTGCTACAACAATGGCTGCGTGAATTCCACCAGTGGTATCCGGCTTTGAGAGTGGCGATCCTTCATTCAACCGGATCCGGCTATCAGAAACCGGTGAGTTTGGTGCTTTGTTGGGGCCACTAGTTTCTGTCCTTTTTCAAAGCACTTTATCTCAAATCTGTCTATCCTCACGTTCAACCTTTGGAACAAGAACCCAGTTTTTACCGACTAAGGTTCGTATGATTTCGAGCAGACTGAAACCTCAATTGTTAGGCATTCCATTACATAATGTTCCACGTTCAACTCACGTATCTTATCTAATTTCCGTGTTTCCGTCTTACAGAACAGCCTCATCCGGTCAATGGGTAATCATCCGGGCAGTGTCCTTCTCACAACATACCAGACTCTTGTAACTTACCAGGACGTATTGACGGCGTTGGAACCGTCTTGGACATACCTGATTCTTGATGAAGGTCATAAAATTAAAAATCCAGAAGCTGAAGTGACTCATGCGGTCAAAAGAGTACGTCAGTACTTGTTGGTTGATTCGATATATTGGTCTGAACGATGTCGCTACATTGCTGCCCTCACCATTTTTTCAATTTTTTTTTGGAGACAGCCAAAAGTTTTTTGATGTGGTAAGGCACTGGTTGCACTGATCGCATGTGATTCTGAGAAAATGTAGCGTTGTCATCCAAACCCAGCCGTTTATTGACAGTTTTGGCATTACAGATTGGCATATGCTTCCATCCGTGTCGTGCTACTGCGCGGTACCCAGTAGCATGGATTTGCCTTAGAAGTAGTTGCTCCATGCTGCCTTTCGTCTAACCGGGTAGTGCCCAGTAGAACAAGTTATGCGAGCTTTATACAATGCTTTCGACCCCTTCTCGAGGTCAAACCGACGAACGCTATCGTCCTGAAGTTCAGTCGGTACTTTTTTCCTCTGCGGATGTGCAACAATGGCGTAGGTTTACTATTTTGCGTTAAACATCGGTGGATCATCTGGGCTATGTGGCCTGGAGATTTTTGTCTAGTTTTCATGGATCTTAAAAATCACCAGACAGTTTACACGGGTACAAAAGCCTGCCAGCCATCTTGAAGATTCAATCCATTAGCTCTATAAATACCAGGGAAAACTGACCAACAAAACCAATGGTGGGATGTTCAAAGGTTTTCACCAGACCTATAATTAGCTCTAAAATACCAGGGAAAACTGACCGGCAAAACCAATGGTGGGATGTTCAAAGGTTTTCACCAGACCTATACGTAGTGTTTCATCAAGAAAAATACTTCGACATCTTGAATATTGTTCCAAGTAACAACTGAGGTGACATTTGTACAACCTACTAGGTTGAGGACTACCGTAATAGGGAGAATTAGTTGGGTGTTTTTTTTAGATATGTGAAATTCACACGCATTAATGTGGCAGTAGTCGTGACTTTCTCCTGTTTTGCTGCGCACCACCGGAGTTCCGAATATGGTGGTAATGCGTTGAAGTGCCTGTGGTTTTCCTAAAGTCTGAGTTTAATTGGGTCTGAATGGTTGATTCGGCGATCGTTTGGGTGTTTTTCTTATCACCTATTTGCCCGCACCAACATCTGTTTGTGACTCGCGTCGGTTACGCATGCGAACAAAGAACGCACGTAGTCACAAATAGATTGACATGCCCGGAATGCCGTAATTTTCGCTCGCATCGCCCGTAATGCACAGGTTGGGCGGAGGCTAATCTTTTTTAGTGAATAGGCTGTTTACAAACACCAGAATTTGATGATGTTTAGTGTCAAGTCGAGGCCGAGTTAAAGAGCGTAAATCCACCATGCCGAAAACCGTGTGAGCATCCCCTAACGAGGATCCGATGGAGTGGACAATTGAAAACGATGGTAGTTTAAAGTCATCCGGTCGATTGACATTTCTGAGAAGATCATGTGATGAACCGTGTTTTGGTTTCAGCAATAAATGTGAACAACGAAACGGGATAACACCGTTCCATGCGTTTGTTTCGTGGAGAAATGGTAACTCAGCTATCACTTTAACACCCCGACTAGCCACTCCCTGACTTCGTTATTAGAGGAGGGCAACAACGGTTTTCTCCCCCGAGCAACGTTCTCAGAAATGTGCGGGTCACACCGCTCAGAAGACACCTGACCAGTATCGAACTGCAACTGTTTGCAAAGTGACAGTAATAACACACGGATAAATTTCTTCCTGTGTTGGTCACGATGAACGACTATCCACGTTTTGAGGTCGAGATAGCTCACTGGTTAAGGCATACACTTACTAACCGGTTCGAACTCAAACCCGGCATCTCGACCGCTCCGGTCCAAGCTTGGGCAATCTGACAGTATCCTCCGAGTGACATGGTACCTAGGCACCAAAAGGGTGTTAAAACTGAATGGTTATTATATAATGTTATCCGCATGCAGAGGATAACCATGAAACCTCGTTAGTTTTACTTTTTTGTTACACTACTTACCCTTTTCTGACTTAATCATATTAGGAACATGCGGTGTAGGTCAATGGCATCGCGGCTGTTGCTACTGTAAGTTCTTGTGTTAGCCGTCAGAGCTAAACTCCGCAGTATCGCTTCTCAATCGCCAGGAAGTTGTTGGGAATATTCCGCCAAACACTGCCTTGAACAAGGCGACATATAGGAGTGTCATCTTCAAGTGCAACTCGCCCATTATGACAACAATTTTTTGTACGCGGCTACCGAACCAACTATTTTTCCGTCAAAGAGTACTATAATGGTGTCTTCACTGGACATTTTTGAAAGGCAGAACTTGGTAGACTAGCCAGTAGAAGTGGTGAGTGAAGGATTTGGTAAGCTCCTATGTTAGAATTGTGTAAAAATCGCTGCGTAGGCTTGTTAACTTTCCGTATAGCTTAAAGTAGTTTATCGTTTCGGTAGGGCTTAGCAAACAATCAGTAGTTTTAGGATTTCCACAGTGATTGAAGAAACCATAAATAATCCCTCAGAAGACTTTGTCTCTGGTGGCCTCAGGAAGTTAAAGAAGTAGTCAAAATAACCGTGCATTATTTTCTTAATTCCAGTAGTAGTGTTGGTTAGCTAAAACTACCTACGTCCGAGTCCTGCCGCCATTGTGGTAAAAATCGTAAACCTCAGTGAGTTGCTCATCAGGAGACATCAGCATTGGCACAGACGCCAAGACTGTGACGACTAGCTGGTGGGTCACCGAGAATAATTGGTCTGATCTTAAAATAAGTTAACAGAAGTACGAAAGTACAATCGGTAGCATAAACTGAAGCAATTAAGAAAGCTGTGGGGGGCAGTTATAACAGTCAATGTGACGCGCCATGGGACAGCAGGAGTGGAGAGCTTGAATGGTCCATGAGGCCTGTATGATTACCGTAACCTCATTACAGACTGTCTTTGGGACTGAAGGAGTTCACATCAGGGAACCCAAGCACTGTTTCACTGCTCATAGTTGGCACAATCCCTTGATTACTCGGTTAATCGGTACAATCATGATGTATGTTTGTGAGCGTGGCGATTCGGTCAAGTGAATGAGCTGATTGACACATTTTCATGAATGAGATGAACAGAATGCAACTACATAGTTTTATCTCAAACGCTTTAACAGATACATTTGACGTCATAAGGTGTCGTTTACGTTCAATGAGAAGAGGATTGACTGCATCGCACAAACTTGATTTGCGAGCTTCGCTCCGTTCAGAATGGCATGAAGCTTGACGCATCACGCACCCCATTCTTCATGGTCAATCCGCATTAGAGTGAGTTTGAAAACACTGTTGTGTCAACACGCGTAAACGGCAGTGCGAATGATTGTCTTGGAGAATAAATGTCACCGATTTCACAGCTATAGATCGGTCATCCCTTGCTTCTGTGTCACCGTACCAAACCGACAACAATAACGGATAAAAACCTGTCTGCTCTGACACACTTTAGGTACCTGGCTGCCATGCCACATGAATGAAGCACGTGGACTGAGATACTACTGGGTTTCCCAAGCCTAATCAGAAGTAGTCGAGATAACTGGTTTGGGTTCAAACCACAGGCCTTCCGGTTGACATCTTCGCACCCTAATCACTGAAGTATCTTGAGTTTATACCAAACTAACGGATGGATCAAATGAAGTTGTCTTCCAGCGATGCGTGTTCTAAGACCGCTTTGAGCGATTAATTGGGGGGCTTCCGGAAGGTATTGATTTAAGATAAGGTTATGTGATTTGGCATTATAATATTGTGAGGCTTGAAGAAATTGGTGGATGACACCAGTTCCTCGTTCTGAACGCGGCAGGGCATTTGCTACTCACTATTCCACTGTCCCCTTGCACCGATTAATAGCCTGTTTGTACGCTGATGTTGTCTTTCGACACTTGCATTCCGCATTGTTTAAATTACTCCGTTAAAGTCGCATGCTACATACAAACGATGCATAGTTGTCCAGTTCTTTCAGCCCAGAAAAGCTGTATCCGATGTTAGGCACGTAAGTTTCTAAAATCACTTAGGGAACTAGTTCGTGCATTGTACGACCTTGCTTCTGAGTTACAATTTTCTGCGCTTCCTTTTTTCCACGCTATAACCTACCGATTGCGGTTGGAACCTGTATGCTCCTGTGTTAAGGTAGCTAAATTATGAACTGTTGGCGTACTTCTTGGCTGTGTTAGTCAGCTATCCCATCTTCCCCAGGTGCGTCACTTGCATATTCATCTTCCTTCCTTCTACGCCTCTAGTTTGCCACTCCACATCGCCTCATACTGTCCGGTAGCCCGATGCAAAACAATCTTCGTGAACTATGGTCCTTGTTTGACTTCGTCTCCCCGGGACGACTGGGACCATTACCGGAATTTATGCAGCAGTTTGCTATTCCAATCACTCAAGGTGGTTATGCCTCTGCGTCTCCACTTCAAGCAAGTTTCCACCGAGTGTGGTTTTTTTGCTCAGACCTTAATCGTTTAGTCGTAAATTGAAATCACGCAAGTTTAGCTCAACCGTAAGTCTCACCCCATGGCTACGATTTCCACTTGGATTTTGTTATGGTCTATCCATAGGCTACTGTAATACAGATGGACATAGATTATCACATACCCACAGGTTACAGTGAGCCAGGCTTTCTGTAGCAATTGTAAGATCTACCACTACTGGAATACATTACTTTTTTGATTAACGGGTAGGTACACCACGCTTTATGCGCATCATGCTGTTGACCATCTGTACCTCTGCTTAATGACGACTCTACACACTTCAAAATTTTCTCACCATTTTATCCTTCTTACTGGTGTATCTTACGGCTAGTCACGCGCTTCACTGACGCTTCAGCTCCGGGATTCACTCGTATCGCGTAACGTACTACGGGTTCTAATCGCAGTATAGGCACGTTCAGCCCTTCTGCCGGCCTCTTCTTGAAGTCACCATAAAGACGCAAAGAACCTACTTTCGAACCATCCGTCACCATTCGCGTCATTTTTCTGTCACTTAAGAATTCAGCCACAATAATCTGTGTACTTTCTGTTTGATAAGTGTGTTGAAAACACACAGGTTTGTGATCTCTCGTCTTGCTGGCTCTGAAATCGCTTTTAAGAAGTCGACTGTTGTTCTTGTGTCAGTATCGATAAGCATACATTCTAGATTCTCAACTATTACGAGCTATTTTCTACTCACTGTTTCAGGTTGAAACTGCATATAGATGTGCGTGCACGTTGCGGGATTTGCTTATGCCTTTCCTCATTCGTCGACTGAAGACTGATGTTCAAATTCAGCTTCCTGCCAAGTCTGAACAGGTTAGACTGCGTCAACTGTTTATTTTTGATCGCAGCTTCCACGGTACCTTCCGGTGTTTCTTTTTATTATTAAGTGTGCGACCGAAGTAGTTGACTTCATCCAGTCACAATAGTAAAATAGGCTATCTCATCGTACTGTTGTCATTATCATACTCTCCTATCCTATCGTTAAACCAGGTTTTTTGTGTCTCGGTGCTCATACGTGGAAATCGTTTTTAGGCCTCCCGTTCTTATTTCAAACAACCCGGCGAATCTGCCCAATGGTTGTGTGGTTCAAATACACTCAAAAACCGGTTAAGGAACTTCGGATACAGCCGAGACTTCGCTTTGTTCACTTGCGTGTTATCATCCCCTAACTGAATTATCAACAACTTTTGAGTTTTTATCCCTGTCCGACCATTTTTATTCACCTAGTGCTAGGCAATTTTGACGCTAGAGGCCAGACAGCTTTTTTCGTTTCAATACGAGCATTACTGTATGGTAAACGGTTTTGAGTATTTCGACGTCCTCTGCACTGAAAAACTGGAATGACTAGTTGAGTAGCTTTGTATTTGTTTTATGTGCTTGCGCATCGGTTAGCGAATGAATATGTGGTTTTTCTTGTTGGAATCTACTGGTTAGGCTTCAAACTTGTTTGGAACCGCATCAAACGTAGTGCCTTCCGTCAGGTGGTTTTGATTCACATCAAGGCTAAGCTGTTCTGTGTTTCAACGTAATACCGCAGTACGCTTAACCGAAAAACACTGAAGCATACATGCATTTACAAGGAACGATCTCCACTGAGTAATGGAAACTCTATTCACTCGGGGGTTCTTCGAACTTTGTCGTGCAATGGAGATTCAGTAGGCCAACTACACTAGAGTAAACAAAGATATCTTCATGAGTAAAACCATTCCTATGGTTGATAAAACTTTATCATAAGCCCACCACCGGTTTCCATCTGTTTTGAGTTGACTTAACCGTAGCTGCACGAACCATTCAAAGCTCCTGTATGCAACTAAGGTGTCAATCCAAAAGGAGTTATCAGTCAGTAGTGGTTAGACTTTACTCGCTCAAGGAAGCTTTGTTTTCCGTAGTGACGTGCCACAATCTTGGTTCTTGAATCCTTGCACTCAGATACATGCCAGTCTCCCCTGATCGGCTAATGGTTTTGTGCCACGTAATACTGTTAAAATACCAAACTGATCGCCAAATTACGTTAACACAACTAGTCGTGCAGCAGGTAGTGATTAGTCCATCGGCACTGAACACACCAGAGTTAACTGAACGTTGTACCATCCCCCGTGAGATTCTCCCAAAATGATCCCCTTCATATCCAAAGGTGGTTGGTCTTTGAATTCATACAATCCTCTGGACATATGGTTCTCCCTTGACTTTGACGCTGTGTGCAATGCGGTACTTCGTCTGTACGGGAGACATGACAGTCAATGACCAAAGGTTTTTGTAATGTAGCGAAATAGCCTTGTAAGCTGTAATACGCGTTTTATTGTAAAGACGATGTTCTGGAGCCATTTTGATTCATAGCTGCCTTGCAACCCAAAGGAAGCACAAGAACTGAGATACCAACCCAAAACAGGAGCAATCAAAGACTAGAGTTCGCTTCGACTGGAGTTTGCTTCATTTGGTTAGTGGAATCGCGCTTTAACCACTGAATCATCTCTCGTTCATGCTAATCCTTAAAAGGTAATCCTTTATGCGCTTCTTGATGTGCACCTATCAGTTGAAGGTAGGCTCGGTCACTCGTCACTTTTAGTGATGGTGCTACCGTTGAGCCCCAGTCGCACGCGGCCACTAAACACACTGGCGCCCAAGGAAAGTATGAGTAGAAGTGTCTCCATCCCCCATAGGTAACGTTATATGAAGGGAGCTGCTTCACTTTCGCTCCAAATGAAACGCGGGATGCTCTGTGTACGGCGCATTTAGTTCAAGTATATTAGGAACGAAGGGCTCACCTGGCATCCATTTGAATCTCCCATTAGTACCACGTTTAGGCGCAAATCGGTGCTTATCTCTACAGCGATAAAGTTGGTTTCCTGGTTTGCCACTGATGAAATTTCTCACAAAGGTTTAGAACATCATAGCATCCAACTGTCATTTGTAACTGTTCCGACTTCCCACAGAGATCCGATAAGTACCAAACCTACGCGCATATTTTTGGAGGATGTCTAAACAATTAACCTGAGTGGTTAGTACGAGAGTTAGTACGGCGGTCGGTTTCCTTATCCTCCTTGTTCTATTCAGGCCTTCCTTCCTTATATAGTTTCAAAACAGTCTGTCGACTATGTCCACTTTAAACTGCTTCAGCCAAATTAGTCAGCAACTCTCGCGTCAACGTATGTTCGATCACTGGCACACTTTTTGGAATTTTTAGTCCACTGTTGCCTACGTAAATTGGCGTGAATGTGCATCAGGTGATTGGTTATCACATCAGTCGCTCTTCTGGTTTGTGCTGACATGTAATGCCAAGGTGTATCCTATTGAGCTTGGATAGTTTGTGATGAAGCGTGAGAATAATGACACGTCAGTAAATGGTTCCCATCTGTTATATACTCATCCCTATTTTAATTCCTGTCGCCAGAAGTTGTACTACTATTCCATCAAAGGTGAAGTAAATTTGTAGATTTCTTTCCCTTTTTAGGTCTTGTTTTGTCGGTTGACCAACTATCAGCGCCAACTATACCGTGAATTCGCGGAATCTCAGCTGTGCAAGGATCTCTTAAATGGCAAAGGAAACGTATGGAAACCGTTTTATTTTTCACAATTAACTGCATGGCCTGTTGTTGCTGCATCGTTTATCATGTTCGATATAGTCAGATTCTGAAAGTTCATTACAAAAGCATAGAAACAGTCTAGATTGCACGGTTTCACTTAACAACAACGTCCTCACTTTTGAATGAAATCGATTCTCGAACGAAACTGCTAACCACTGCCTGCATCCACAAGGAATTTCACGACCTTTCTCTTTGGTTTGCTTTAATAGTACCGATTGAATCTTGTCTTTATATGCTCTCACATTTTGCCTTGAAATCGATTTGCCAAGTTTTACCAGTTTCATTGGTTGACGCTGTGCAACTCGGTCTTACTAAATACCTTAGAACTGACATTCGCGACTTTCCTGAACACTATACCTCAGCTGGCCAAGTAATAATGGCATAACGCTCCTTATTTCTCGATGCTATATGCCTAACAAGGCACTGAATAGGTTAGTGCTGGGTTGTCCCGTCACATGTTTGCGTCCTCACGGTTTTCTTGAGAAACCAATAAGGTCTGCAAGTAAAATAATAGTTCCGTGACGGGACGTCCCTTTACGGTAGTTTTCCGGATGGATTATTCCTATCTCTAACGAAGCCGAGCATCCGCACTTGGCATGACTATAGATTTGCACTGCGCTATCCTTGTGCCGTTTCTCGATACACCACAGTCTAGGTATACCTAATTCGTGCGGGATAGGACGATAGCACGATAACTCNACTGAGAAGATAAACAACTGCCCACTGGTAACCGACATCACAGCTATCACTCAGTGATCGTAGGTGACAAACAAAGCCGGTTATTGATCTTTTATGGAAAAAGAGTTGATATGGATTTTTTAGGTATGCTGAAAAAAAACACGATACTTCAAACTGCACGACACTAGTTTGCTAGGTCTTTACTACTATGAATGCCAGCTTACGTTGATGGGGGCTTTTGGGGATCAGTACTGTCAGAAGGGAGTTTCTGATGTCACAAATTCAGTTACTGTCGTAGCAGCCGTTCGTTCTGCATCAAATGCGAACATTCTGAACACTGATTTTGTGAGTCATATTTGGCCGAGCTCGAACCCATTGAAGTGTTTGCGGTTTTTTAACATTGTCATAGTTCTTTTATTAACCAGTTCGCTTTAAATGCGTATCCATCTATGGTGAGGTTAATGTATGTTGACCGAATTGAGGGACTTGTGACAAAGGTTCCGGACATCCTCTTAGTTCATAACAATGAAGGCGATTGGCACCGTTTTGGTATGTCGATTCGAGTGAATAACCGTTGACCAGCTAGATGTGACATCTTCCTGGGTGGGGTTCTTGGGACAATATGGCCGTTTATTAAAACAACTGCTGTTATTTACTCAGTGACCCGTTGAAACTACCACTTTCATTTCAAAGCTGCCTCAATTTGAAAGGCTAATAATTCAGTAGGTCTTTACCTAGGTACTATTTGCAATGAACTAGTCAGTCTATTCCATGACCATTTTTTTGAAATTTTCATTGTCGTTCGTGAACGATCCATTAACTGCATAGGCTTATTAGCTTAATATGTGCAGTAGGGCTTCACTGATACAGAATTCACGATTATTCTCCGTGCTCTTATGGGAAACGTTCTTTTTTTCTCCCCAGGCTACCAAAATGTTGGGCGGGTTCATCAAAGGGATGGAATCCATTTCATCATTCAAAGTTGGCATGACTTGTTAATTAGTCTGTCCTTTGTCAGGAATATCACGGTAGTTCCTTAATGGCCAAAGTAGTCCTGTTGTTTTTAGCCATCCTGTGTGACTGCCGTAAATCTTGACCTGTCAGAACCGATTGCATACACTGACGTGGTCGATGGAATGTCTGTAAGTAGCTGGATTATAGTCGTCACAGCGTACAACTGGTGAGTTAGCCTAGTTGGATAGGAGCCTAATAATTTCTTTACTTCGCGCGACTCCTAGGCTCAGGTCTCCCATTTATTACGGAATCTACCGTACAGTAATCTAGTGGCGGAACGGGGTTGCCGACCCGGAAGGTTGTTGTGAACTCTTCAGAATAGTGGCTTCTTTTTGTATAGTCTTTCTTGGTAGATCATCGTATCCCTACGTTTGCATTGCACTCCCTACTTCGTTTCCGCGGTCATTTGTCCATGCGTAGTGCCTAATGGGCGTCGTTTGATTCCGACCCAAATTCTAATGTAGATGGTATCACACAGCTGAGACTTATTTCGTGGATATAACATATTATTCGCACCACTGTCGTGCAATCAGACCAGTGTGCAGCTTGTCAGTCATATGATACTTAGCGGTTTGGCTCGATTGATGTTTTTAAGATCTGTTGGAGCTTTCTTGAGATCGTTTTATGCTTACATTGACATGTATGGACGTTATTTGACAAATTTAATGTGGTTCTGCTCAATTGTGACTGATGTATCGCGTAATTATTCACATATTTCTGGTACTCAACGACTCGTGCCGTCTATCCGCTCATCTTGCATGCAAGGTGGAACGTGATTTATTTTCTGGTACCGCTTTCGTCTCACATCCGTTTCGTATCGTTTCATGTGTAAACGGCCATCTGGGTATGGATGAGCTTCTACCGCAATTCGCCTAGAATTAATGAGAGGCGTCTGTTCTCGTTCGGAGTGATATTTCCGAGTAGATCAGATGAGAAGCGTTCGGTCGTCAACATGCAATTTGGAAAAGCCGTGATAGAGGAGGAAGCACGCAGTTTCCTGCTTACAAAGCAGCATACAGCTGCACTTTTCGTTTGCTACTAACCACAGGTCGTACCAGTAAATGAACAAACCAACATCGAGTAGATCAAGGTACCTTGCTTGGGTGTTACTAAGCTGCATAGGATCTAACTTTGTTTGCTAAATGTTGGTTAATATTTGATATTTGGTAAAAAGTTCCACTATTCTGACTGACTGTTTTGGATGTGTCAGATGGCACACCAGGTTGGGATGCCGCTGTACCGTCGTGAGGTAGTTACTGGGAAATTTCGACGTCGCTAAGTAGCTTGACCAATGCTCATGCAGGAAAAATGATTGAGTTTTGACTTTTCAGCCTTTTTGTGGCTGTTTTGAGACTGACGCCACTGACTTTCCAGTTGATACATCTTACAAAATTCCTGCCACTGAACCCTGATTGCGAGATTCACAGAATCGTTGTCCCGATATAGCACAGTGACAATCATTTTTCGTCGCCTGTGAAATCCAGTCTGTTTATCGGATTAATTCTAAGCCTCCATGGGTAAAGCAGTTTACTAGACGCAGTTGAACTCTGGACTGACAAAGGGTTGTTCGCTGGATGGAAGGTGTCAGTGACGGTTGTAAGTTGTCAACCCGGTCTCCGGGTTCGAGAGGAAATATCCTCATGGCCAAGAATTTTTTTATTTCTTCCAGATCTTCGTTTTCGAGAGATCGTGCTTGTCTGAACGAACAGCTTCCGCATGGCAAGACACGATCATCAAGACAACAGTATAACACATCAGTATTACACAATACTTTTTATTTAGCCTGGCGTACTCCGGGCCATAAAGGTGACCTTGAATGCCCAGCTTTACGTGCTGTGTAAGGTCACTGTATGCCGGATTGTTTTGTTTGAGAAACTCTGTTTAAAATTCATGTAAATTTACTGTGTTTATGTCAAAGATGAGCTGGTTGTTTGGTCTGGTTCCACCCATAAAAATTGTCTTGTTCGCTCACTATCATTCACCCTTTATTGTTTCCAGGTTTTCACTGCGCTAATTCTACTGCGGAAACTGTGTAATCACCCCGATTTGGTTACCGGTGGACCAAGGGACCATATTTTGTTGGGAGCTGAATTACCAGAGGATGATGTGGATGTCACTACAGTCAGCAGGATTTCTGAATACGGATGGACTCGTTTTGGCTGTCCTCGAAGGTCTAGTAAAATGCTTGTGGTTGCCTCTTTGCTACGAGCATGGTCAACCCAAGGACACAAGGTTCTTCTGTTCTCACAAAGTCGTCGGGTAAGTTGCGCAGGTCCCGAATCCCCTGTCCGTTCTGATCGCTTTTTCGGAGGTTTGTGACTTAGGTTCTGCAGCAGAACCAAGGCGCTTGGAGAATTTTGGTTTCCTAAGTGAATTTGCCGTTTGACTGAACGGCTATAGCAACTCTCATCTGCAGATGTATTCAGTGTTTCAGGTAATCGGTTCAGTTTGGCTCCATTTTCTAGACCTATTCATGGTCTAGAAAATCGATTGGCTGGTCCATCTCCTATGTGGTCTGTACAACTGGGAATCACTGTTTTTGAATACGTCTGATCGTAAAGCCCAGAGCTCTACTCTCAGATAACTCGCCATTAGTGTGTCTCACCTGAACCTGTCACGTTTATGCTTGCATCTGTATATGGTGGTGCACTGTGTATGCTCCTCTATTTATCTTGACCTTTTTCATACCCCCAGTCGAGTTCAGGCTCAAAAAAGGCCCTCCGAATAATGTCCGCAAAATTTCAGGTACTATCCCATCTTGCTTCGACGCATACTGCATAACTCCTTTCGTATTACGGTTCAAAAAGGTGGATTGTGTACTCCGTCCTGCCAATTGATAGGTATGGAGGGTAACAAGTTTGCTGCGTGAAGAAACGAGTCAGTTGCTTCCATACACTGATACGCCCTTCATCAGTCGATTCGTAGTCCCCGATCGGCACAAGACGCACCCTTGTTGGCAAATGCACACACCAAACAAGTAGCGCTGGGAATCCTTAAAAAAAACAGAAAGCAGCTCTGGAATTGGTTAAAGTTCGTGAATAGAACTAACTCCATGTATGAAGTAGTGTGGAGTTGTGTTCTACCATTACATTTCCATCGTTCCTGTGAAATTCGGAATGAAATTTGTGATGGAATTCTGCGAGATTCTATGAGGTTTTGCAATCTGGGTTGGGTCTTTCCATTTCATTCAAACATCGAAGGCTTCTTCCTCATTTTAAGACAAAGACTCAGCCCAGATCACTCGTGTTCTCACTGATTTCGTTCAGTTTTCGAAGGTTATTCTGCCCCTGTGGAGCCTAATTTAGCGCGGAAGCTATTGCACGAACTACTGACCCAGAGGTCTTTGTTTCAAATCCACACGTGACTCTTCGGCCATCCCTCCAGGCTTGGGTAACCTGATATCTGTTTTCGTTCTTTTTTAATAGTGTTCGGAAGCTACGCACTGAAAGTGCACCACTGTGGGATACTGAGTTTGCTTTTCTTCTGACTTGCAGATGTTGTGTCTCCTGGAACGTCTTCTGATCACATTAGGCATCACATACCTTCGGATGGATGGTTCGACCCCAGTCAGCCAACGTCCCGCTCTCATAGACCGTTTCAATCGTTCAACCGATTCTTCGGATGAAAACATATTTGTATTTCTACTAACGACGCGTGTGGGCGGTCTGGGGATCAATCTAACTGCTGCTAACAGGGTCCTCATTTTCGACCCTGACTGGAATCCGATGACTGATTTGCAGGCCAGAGAACGGGCTTGGCGAATCGGTCAAACCCAAGATGTAATTATCTATCGGTTGCTAACCAGTGGCACGATCGAGGAGAAGATCTATCATAGGTAACTATCTTGCATTTTTAGAATCCTTCTCTTTATTTATGAACCGCTGCATCTAACCTCCTCACTAGGTCGCGTATGAAAGTCTGCGTCCGAGTTTTGGATCTCCAGTTTATTCATATTGTAATTCATCGTTTGAATCTGTGAATTACATACTATATATATTATACATGTTATATTATGTAGATGATGACGGTTACGTCAATATAGCATTGGTTGTTACAGAGGGGAATCACATAAAACCGTTTAACCGCGGTAAGTAGCTTGCATGCAGCCTGAACTTACAGTCAGATTAGGGTAGCTCCAAGTCGTTCAAGAGTGAAGCGGAGGGATCGCAAAGTCAGTGTTCGATGAAAACTAGAAACCCTTCGGACACGTGCTTGTTTTAGCATCTTTGACTGACACATAAGCACTGTGGATCGTTCCAATAGCTAGTATCCGAATACATGTGTGAAAAACTTGTCTCAACTTTATAATTGTTCAGCTATAGCCTCCTTTCGGTGCCTAGCTGCTGTGTCACTATAAGGAAGCAGGCGGGTTGGGATACTACCAGGTTACCGAAGCCTAGATAGGAGAAGTTGAGAATCTGAGTTTGGATCTGAACCACAGGCCTTCCAGTCAGTGGATTTGTGCTCTAACTACAGCCATCTCGCTATCTCGGCAGCGATATTTTCGGTCGAATCGCGGGATGACATGAAAAACAAAAATTGTCAGTTTAGCTGAAAAAATGTCTTTTTGAGCCAGTTGGCGTGTGATGTATAGATCAATGGGAAAGTTGTTTCTTATGCCATTGAAAGGCTGTCAAACCGACAAATACTGAGCGCACAGTTTATTAGAAAACCTGTTAAGCCACTTCTTGTTACTGGGCTCGATACCTGCAATCATTGTTGATGATTTTACTTCCGTGTTTCAGCTGGACTTTTTCAACCTGGAATTCCTCCAGCCTTTGATCTTCATTGTTTCACTATACACGCTGCTCTAGACACCTCTTAGGAGAATGTGTTGCAATATAGGAATTAGCGAAGCTAGAATAGCAATTGCAACATTACGAGCGACACTGGTCTCTGACAATGGTACATACGTAACCAATCATTTACTTGAAAATGTTTCCTTGCTGCTACCATATCGTGCCTAATGTGTGTGGATGTAAAGCTCAGTCATCTAGAGATCCCAAGTATTAAAACCTCCAAATTTCTGACAAACACCTTCACTCCATTCAAAGTACTAGGATTTATTGTTGCACTATATTACAGCATACCATACTACACTGCGTTATACTGTACAGTATACTCATCAGTTCCTTGAGCACTGTCGCTCTCCCATCAAACTCAACTGTTGGAAGTCTGGGGACACCTCCACAGGAATAATGGTATTATCCTCAGTAGCAACTGATACTGTGAGGTTGCCATATCAGATAGACCTGGTAACAACGTGGAATGTCTGTATAAAGTTTACTAACGTGCAAGAATTTAAAAAGAGTATCCGGTTTGAGGTGATATTTTCTTTATGCTGATAAGTAACGGCACTGTGTGCCATAGCTTATATGTTGAGTTCGTCAGTGCTCTGTAGCTTGTTCGACTGTTTAAGTTGATCATTAGATGACCGCTATGTGACCCACCAGCTTTGAGAACTCAGCCTCCTCTCTCTTCCCCTGCAGGCGACATTTTTTCTCTAGCGGGCAGTTTTACTGCAGACTAGTCTGTGATTCATGGTGTCAGTAGGACGAGGAATTTACCAAACAGTAGTTGGCTTGAAACTATGTGTCCTGCAGCTTCTTCTGGTTGGGTTTAAAAAAATCTTTTTCCGATGAAATTACAGGCAAATCTTCAAGCAGTTTCTCACAAACAGGGTTTTGAAGAATCCTCGGCAACAGCGTTTCTTTAAAACGAATGATCTGCAAGAACTGTTGAACTTTGATGACGGCGAATCTGCATCAAGAACGAAGGGCCAAGCTCCAGAAACCGCGAAGTACGTCCATTGTGAAGGCCTTGGTCACACTGTACTCGATGCGTCCAAATCTGTGATCGGTAATCCGAAAATACCGAACCGGTTTGATTTGTTGCAAGCCCAAGGCAAAGTTATCGTAAAGGAAACGACGGAAGATGAAACGGGTTCCGATGATTCACATGAGGAGGAAATTGCAACTACAACTACTACTACTGATGCGCAACAGACGTCTGCTCAACCGCGCAGGGTGGATGAGGCGCGGAAAGCTCAACTTCGTCAGCTTGCGCGTGAGTTAAGTAAGCGCATTGGTGAGGGTCGACTTAATGAAGATAAACCTCTCAAACTCCGAGGCAAACTGCGTCTGAACCACACTCAACGACGCGGCACGAGGGTTGATGGCAAGCGTATTCCATTAATCAGTCGTCGCGCGGTCTATGACTATGGTGATGTGGACACCACTCCAAGTCCGAGTCACTCTAAGGATTCGTCACGCGGAAAGTTACTTCCTGTCGCAGATGAAACAAGCAAAGATATGTTTTTAACTACACTGTTGGCGCCAGATGGTGTCTCATCTGCAGAACTTCAGTCGAGCATGAAGGCCAAGCGATCTGTCCTGGATGAAGAATTACGAGCAGAAGCTAAACGCGTGGCTACCGAGGCCCTGATCCACATACAACGATACTCATCTTCGAAAACACGTAAGTCGACTTCATCATTATTGAATTAAAAATTTTCGGTGACACTTAGTGATTAATACAGAATATACCGCACCTAGTGTGGGAAACGGTCAGTTGTCTCCTTGAGAGAGACGTCCGAAATGAATATATAGTTGAATGAGACGTAAGGTGAACTCCATAATATGTGATCAGCTTCAAAGCCTCCTTAGTTACCTGTCGACCTGGCCTATCTTCGTTACAGGTGTCCGTTACGTTTATCCGCCTCGGTCGTGCAATATCACGACTGTCTGCTAATTGTTCCAGGAACATATTGTAAGTCCTTAAAAATTCGGAAAAAAGCCATATTGTGCTAATCGCATGGTTGTATGATTTCTTTAGATGGATATAAAAAACGACTAATTAAGAGGCGTTCCGTGCCAGATAACCGTAAACGACTCGGCATGAGTTTTTCCCGCCATGACATCCTTGTCTAAAAATTCGTTAGCGACGACGGATGAAAACTCCCTTTCGTCATCATCGTCATCGACAGCATGACATCGGTGATTTAGCACTGATGCTTCACTGCCGCACAACCAAGATTTATTTGAAATCCTCATTGTGAAGAAAAGAATGAAGGCAGGCGGGGAAGGCCTTAGTGCCAGCTTACTATAATCATTCCGAGGTGTCTACACCAGACACTCATTCAGGCGATCTGTATAGAAACTGTCAACAAGAACACCACTGACATCAGTTGGCAGCCATATCTTGCAGTGTCTCCCCTCCTTCACCTGTCTTGAAGTGCCTGTATGGTGCACGGGATTTCGTTTACTTCCAGGAGCACCCAAGGAGGCAGTTGCTGAATGCGACCGTTTGATTTAATATCCATGTAGTTTGACTTAAATGATGTCTAACTGAAGGTTCATTTTTGCCTATGGAGGAGTCGACCTGTACCAACGATAGTCGTTGCAGCTTTCTAAGATGGGCGTATGATCCTCTGCTCAGCTGGTTGCTCGCCGCAGCTAGGGCCATCTGGTTAGTAGCAGTTTATTGTAGGTGTCCTCTCATCAAAACCCCAGGTGATTACCAAATATACGCTACGGTCTTTTGATGCTTCCAACATAACATTCTCTTCTTTTTCCCCGTCAGTCTACAAGTACTCAATATTATTGGTCTTTTTCGCGGGAAATCCGCAAAAGTGTACTCGAAACAGGAAATCAGTTAGGTTGTGTTACTAACCACTCATTCATCAAAAAGGACATCTGAAGGCACGGACTTTACCTTCGCCAACCAGTTACCCCGTGTAAGGGAAACCCAAAGTCTTATTTGAGGACCGGATTTTTCTAGTTTCAACCAATAAGATCTCACTTACGCCTTCAACCTCGTGAACTGTTGATAAATATGATTGTCTCATGAGATTTAATGGACGCTCTGTTCACAGCGACTGAGTTCAAACATTCGTTAGGTGCACTGTATCATTGGTTTTAGTATATTCCCCTAGAAATCTATCACTTTGGATGCGTCCTAGATGGTAGGTCGTTCGTATCGTTCAGTGACCATAGCCAGTTGCAGTGAAGGTGAGATCTGGAAGTTTTGACTGTACGGAAAGAGAACCGGCGTAGTATTGGATTAGGTTAAGCAATATTTTCTGCTCACATATGTTGTTGAATGAATGTTGAATCCTTCAAAAAAAGAATATCATATTAACTGAGACTTAGTTCGTTTGTTGCCCACCGAAAGTGCCTTTTCTCCCTGTTTGGTTTCTGTTAAATGAGGTCGTGCTGTTCTCTGAAGTGTACTCTCTTGGCAGAGAACCAATGAACTAAAATGTTGTAGCTAATTGACCAAAAGTGTTCAGACTGAAGTTTTACCCCTCCAGAAGGATTCATCGTATTGTGGCAAGGCAGGCGCCACCAGAACCAGCGATTACAAAAGGTAGGTGCCAAATGATGCACTCGGCTGCAGGTACACGTCAACATAACTTAGAGGGACACGGAAATCGAACAAAGTGGTCTGGGAGTTCCGTCGATACGGTCCAATACTGCAGTTCAACAACTGAGGACTATCAAGAGCAGTCGAACGAAAACTTATGCACCACAGTGTGCCACAAAAACTAGAAATGAATCTGACACCTAATCAGAACATGGCGCCCATTAAACGAAGAGTGCAGACCACGAAAGCATCAGTAGTGATTGCTACATGAGTAGGAAATTTACCCATATTTAAAAGGTTAGTCGGCTGTCTGTGTGACTAGTTACAATAAACAGACATTATCCCCGCCAACCTTGCTGTTGCGTACGACAAGGCTGAATTATCGCCTACATCCGGACGCTTAATATGAACTGATCTGCTACTCTTCTATCTCATGCAGGAATGCCATGTGAAAGACCGTATGGCGAATACCGGTTTTGTTTCTTCGCTGTGTACTCCGCACAAAGGAATTGATACGTTCCCAGGTTTCGTGCTGTCTGTCTACCCTTTTTATCGTCACTCCATGGTCAGTTTTATGCATACATTGAACTTAGGATAACCAATCCACCCCGTATCTCTATAATACGGGTGGTAACTTTATGTAGCCCACATTCACCGGGTGGAACTAGTGAGTGTTTTCCATTTGTCTAATCGCTTCACTCATAGCTGACTTCATAACTTTTTCCCGGAATGTTTTGACGTCTCACTTTGACACATTCGCTTTTGCCGGAGTCACTTTTGCAATTCGTTTTCCTAATTTTGCGCTCTATACAGTAGAGTTTCTTGAATCATCTGGAAGTGTTTCTCATACCCATCTATCTGTACGAGCGTTTCATTTGATTATTACCCTCTGTTTGCCCTACTCAGCTTGTCTAAACCTTCAGCTTTGGTTCTGATTCTGTTCTTATTTGTGTTTCACTTAGGTAAGGATCTTACATCCATGACAGAACCTGGAACCTCCAGCTCCATGCCTACATCCTCAAAACACACCGCACCCATAAATAGCTGCTCGTCTGGCATACTTCATGCGAAAAGGAGTAAGAATGATAACCCCACAAGTTCTGGCAATGTGCAAGCCAGTGAACAAAGTCGTAAACGCAAAATGATCCATCCCGTCTCAAGACCCAAGAATTCCACTCCTCACCTTTCGCACGTCTCACATGTGCTTCTTCACGACCAATTACTCGATGACTTTACCCAAGAAAGCCGAATCGATCATTCGTTTTACACGTCTGAAGCACGTCGCCTGGCAGAAGTAATTGCAGAAGAACTGCTCAGGGAAGCTCAAACTTCATTTGATCCACAAACTCCGGAGGCACATTCGTATACCAGTGTGTTGTCTACAGTGAGACCGTTCGGTCTTGTTCACAATCGGTTTCTCTGGAATCCAAGTGAACACCAAAGCCCAGCCCTCGTAAGTTATGGATTCGACCACTTTGTACCCAATGGAATGTTACGAATGGGGCCGTGTGGTTAGGACTCCGTTCAGGTGACTTAAAGTAGTCGCATGAATCATTTACATTACCATTGTTTCGTTCACATGGCTAGAGTTCCACTGATTGATTATTGATGAAGCTGTAAATTCCCATCTAACTATTAAATTTCTTTGTTTAACTTGGGGTCTGAGATCGCTCAGCGTTTACGGCGCCAACTACTCACTGGAAGGTCTGTGGTTTGAACCCGATCTCAGCATCTCGATTGCTCCTGTCTAGCCTTGAACAACCTGACAGTGTTGCAGTCCTCGTTCTTTCTTCAGCTGGCTTAGCAGCTGGACACTGCAAGTGTCTTACAGCTGAACTGTTTCAGGGTTCTTCAGAACTAACTGCGATGACCCCCTACATGAACCCCCCAGTGTGTGACCCATGTGTTTCCTAACCTTCGGGTCATCTAAGCCTATCTACTAGAAATGGATGTGAAGTTGTCGATCTGGTGGCTGTATTATGTACTGCAACATCCCACGCCTGTTCAACTCAGAATTGGCTAACCTAGAAAACAAGGCTAAACCGCAATCGGTCCGGGAATGTATCGAATCTTTTTATCATCCTTGCCGGGGAAGGTAATGTGAGGCTTGCACAATGAAAGCCACTGATGTGTGCATTCACATAAAAAAACGCCAACCAAATGGCTAGATCCTAAACGTGCAATGGAGGAAAGTTTTATCTTTGAGATTGTCGTCTTGAAGTGATGGATCAACCCACACAGGTTGACCCGGTGTGTTAAGCAAAACTCGGCTCAGCTTGTGTGCATGCCAATTAGCAACCTGTTTTAGCACTTAATAAGTGAAGAACCGAAAGTAGACCGTCATTTGTCAAACCTACTTTATTTGGAATATGAAATTCTGCTAGCTGATGCGGGTCATGCTGAGCGAACTAGCCATTTACGCCAAAACTTGATGCAACAGATATCTCGTTAATTGACACTAGAATCAATAGAGATCGACTCTGTGCCTTACTGTCGCATGTTCTCTAGAGCTCCATCGTCTGTTGGATAGATGCTATACCAGACGCCCGATTTTTATATATCTGACCAGGCGGGCTGGCACTCGCTGGATAGATTCCCCTTATTCCATTGTCAGCTACTGAATATGTGATACTCGCTAATTCGGAACCCCCCTCTGTTAAGTCGAATGTTCCGTGAACTTTCACTGGACAAACCAAACAAACAAACAAACAAAAACTAATCCTCATACGGAATTAGGGCTTCCTCTCCAGCTGGGAAAATTGTAAGGTGAACAGAATTTGGTCTTACTGGTCACCCACAGTTTCCACTCTGTGAGAGTAGCATTCGATGTTCGATTAGCTCATTGGCACATAGAGAAAGCCGTCCGACCAAAGCTTCATGCTTTTTTTGAAGTTAAAGCAGGTCCGTTCCCAATATGTACAAACGTTGCCAGTCACCTTCCATGTCTAACGTAACCTTCCTGGCATCACATCATTCCTCTACCAGATCCTTATAATATCAGCTTTTGGTGCGTACGAATAATTTGTTCGATCGGATTATATACCAATATCAACAATAAATAACATTTAAGTATCGCGATTTAATTGACTTCCTGTGATCACCAACTATAAACTGACAGTTCAATAATGAATTAAATCAACGTGTCGTCCTGTGTTTACATGGAGACCAATCGATGTTCATGTGGGGTTTCCCTAACCCAACACCTGCCCCCTGCCGGTCCATCCGTTCAAAGACGTCATACCAGACAGAGTGGAAAGCCAAGGGGAGATCAGATCTGGATTTGATTGTGCCGTACGAATACCTTAACTAGTACACGCGGTCCGTTTAATTACTGCTACGCTATTTCGGGCCCATTCGCCGTGAGGTACTGACGGATATTCCGTTTCCATGCCCTTTTGTTTCGTATTATACCAAGAACACAGCATAGTGATAATCATTGTGCTTTTCAACATCGTGGTGCACATTGCTGCAATACCATTGGCTAATCCGTGGCTGAAACTTCTACATCTCGAGGCGCACGTGCGATTTTTATACTTACAACTGCTATTGCATCCAATAGGAAATCGCGATGTGTGATGGTATGCTGATCGCTATTCAGCGAATCATCAAACGCCTAGGAACCTCAGGACAATTGGCCTGATTAACTGCCTTCCGCTTCATCACTGTTAAAATGACCTGCTTGCGAATCCAACCGTAACTCAGCCTTTCTGGAGTCGACTATTTTTTCTTAGACGTCACGTGATTATGGAAAATTTATCGTTACTAAACAGTGGGGGCACGCGTCTTCCTTCTTAAAGGTCACACTCATCAAATACGATCGTTGGCACTTGAGGCTGTTGTGCGGTAAGCCACGCAGTGGCGATATATACCAGCATTCTGGGTTAAGATTAACTTGAAATAAGCGCTTGCCTGACTAGCATGCCTCACCCATTATGGGCGGGAATGATGAATATCATCTGTTGACCACTGGCGATGTATTACATTCATCCCTACACCTTTGTTCAGTTCATACGCAATCTTTTCTTGTTTACAGGCTTATTTATCACATTCTCTGAGACAAAACGCATTGTCTAGCCAAAACACGGTTATCAAATCGTTTGATCCAGGGCAGCAGTCACCACTGGATGCCAGTGCCGTCCTTGTTGGACATGTTCGCTTCAGCTCGTCCATCCTGTTGCAACTTATCTCTGTCCGACACACTGCTCGCCAATCCTTTCCAGCTACAACCCACCGTGAACCCAGTCACACTAGAGGATCTATCCAGCATAAAATGCAAGTACTTTGCTGCGAACTCGTCCGGATGCTAACCGGTAGCTCGCTACCTGTAACTAGCGGGCTCCTAGCTTCCTGTTTCAATCATATTTTGTGCAAGAACTCGGACAGTGTGAATGAACTTAACGCCCTACATTTCCGGGCGATTCTTCGGCGTGTAGCCGGACGAAGACGGTCGAAAGATAGTAGTACTGATGCCTCGTCTAGATGTCGCTATAATGACGTATGGTTTCTGCGGGAACGTTATCGAGATGTTGCCCAATACCTGTCCAGTCAGCTGGCTTCATGTGAACGATCTAGCACTAACATCCAAAGTTAGGTTTGATACGTGTACATATTTTTCTAATTGAAGAAACCTTATATTTTTCCAACTAATTTCACTACAAAACTTTCCAGTCAGCGTTTACTTCTCTTCAGTGTTGAGCACTGTTTCGTTTTTTCTTATATTCATTTTGACCAGTCTCGATATCTTGCTTATTTTTTCCAAGAGAGTCCACTCAGGTAAACAATAATGCGAAACCACAGCGTTTGTTTTTTTAAACAACAATAAATCAAATGCATTTTTCGTGAGTTTCTCGTGCTGATTTGTCCATCAGTGGTTATAACCTAATAGTTATACACTCCTGCTCAGAGTCATCCGTTGTCCTTACCATCTAATTGCCGCAACATTGTGAAAAATCATTGCGATACAACTTATTTTATCCTGGGGAAGGATAGTGCTGTGCTATGACGTCTGCTACGCACGAGGATGCTACAGTTTTGTCTTCTTGCTTCTGATAATGAATCCCATTGGGCCGATCAGTTGAAAGGGTTTCAGAACAACCTGTGCGGACGGCACTTGCAAACAAGTTAGCCCAGTCTAACCGAAGATGTAGGCTAGAAATGACTTGCTCTTTAACGAGGCAAATTATACTCAATTGTGCCGCCGTTGGATCCTCAGTTCTGCTGGGTACTACGTCATCTCCGAATTTCATTCATCCACAAAAGCCAAATACTCGTTGCTGATGGTCGTGGGGTACCGATCTTTTAATATCATACTGTGTTACTGTCTTCCAATTTAAAGTCCGGTCACCATACTTGTCTACCTCCATCTGAACCGTACGGGCTCTTATTTTACTCAGGATTAAGTGATTGTTGTACACACTGAATGCCGGGTGAATTAGTTGGAATGTAGTAATCAACACTTACAAATGCCATATCCATCTGAACATCGGAAAACTCGTGTGGTCATATATACAGAATAGGATTTGGATTTGCCATAAACAACTTTTGTGGAAGCAGCGGTTTCAAAGATGGTCATATGAGTAAATTCGCAGAGGCAATTAGCAAATTCTTTCCTCATGCGCATCTGCCTTCGCAAACTTCTCATTTTTTTGAACTAGTAACAGTGACGCGGATATTCCACGGTGCTGTATACGTGCACAGAATCCAAATTCAGTGGCATGGTATGTCCGCAGGTGAACGGAGTAGCACAGGCTTTTCATTATGATTCTTGCTCTGCTATCTACCGTCATCGAATATGACATCTGTCAGTGGCTTGTCGAGTCAATGTACCCAGCATACTACTAGCAGTTTTCAAGGCAGCCCAGGCGTATATATGTAAACCCATATCTGGCTGACACTGCTCTAGACGACCCACAGGGAACTTGGAATGTCCAGTACGCATTGTCTAGTAGCTTTGTTCTTATGGGGCAAACATTTTGTCCGATAACTCATTTGAAGGACTGCCCATATGGTACGCACGGAAGATACGTTAGTAGCTGGGGAGACGGTGATTTTGTGAAGCGTTGTCATAGCCAAGGACTGCCATTAGATAAGGTAAGCATGTTAATAAGATTCCCCAAGGGTCCATGGTGTATGACACTATCATTTGATTGGTACATGTTAGTTCAGTCAACGACAGGTAACTGAGGTACCGCACTAAACCAACCGCACATGGCTCCCACACTTCGTCTGTACTTCAAACTCCATCGGTTTTTCGCACCCAACATTAGGATAGAGTGACTTAACTTGCAGTAGCTTTCTATATTTTGTCTGTTCCTGTTGGATCAGCTATATTAGCCTCACGGCGAAACGCTTGTCCAAACATGCCAGGAAGCATTATCCCCCATGGTTGTAACAAGCGCATAAGTCCCTCTGCAATAGCACTTTTCATTGAGTCAAATCATTCCTTCAGTTTCCACAGCGTGTGGACTTATCTACTGTGTGCATCGAAAGCAGTCACAGACGGTTAATAGTCGCATTTTGGCGCTAGCTGAGGTAATGTGCACTCGATTGTCAGCTTTCTGCGTTCAGGAGCTGTGTCCGCGCACCATCCGACCAGGAGGTGCCACTTTGACGTGCGAGCTGGGCCTGTGTGTTGTAACACTCTGACGGGATACATTGGCGGGATATCCGCTCCACAAGATTAATTCATGTCAGGAAGTAAAGGAAAACGATGAGCCACCGTATGATGAATAGCTTTAATGGGATCCGATCTGTATGTAAAACTGTACTGTCTTCCACCGTGGGACTTTGAAGACAGCAAGATATTTCTTCCAGTCGACCGGCATGTCCATAGTCATAGACGCAGCGACGCTACCCTCTTCCAAAGAAGGACGGGTTAGCGAAGGTCAGCCCCCAAACCGCATATTCCAACTGACCGTGACCGCCGCCAAGTTAATCAATAGGATTAAAACTGGACCTTAGCAAAAGCCCGAAGCGGTTGCAAACGCATCTAATATGTGCATTACGATTGTGAGTCACGCATCAATCCAGCTGGGATGTACCACTTGCCCTCAGTTCTTCACTCACTGACACCACCTCACACGTCCGTCACCCATGTCCTGATTCATTCACCTGCCAACCACCTAACTTGCTCCGTATCCGAGACTTTGCCCGGTAAAAAAACCCAACTAACTTCAAGCGATATGTTCTACTTTACTGATTTCATATCGAGCAACAAGTGGCTCTTGCTCATAACTTGTTCTCATTTTCGGTCGAGAGGTGTACTTGTGTCTCAGAAACACACGCATGCAGGGACCAGTCCGATCATGTATCTCAAGCAGCTCGAGACGAGCCTAAGTTTCTCGCACTTTAATGTTTGGGTTGCTGGCTATCCTGATACAAAAGGCTCGTGGTATCTACGGGGTTGGAGTTGTCCTTAGTCTAAGGACTGAATGCGCTTTACAGGGATGGATTCCGTATACTAGCCACCTCTGCGCTGTCAGGTTGATTGGTTCAGTCAAGATGAATGTTACTCGACGCGGTAACGTGTTTGTTGTGTCAGTAAATGCTCTGACGGACAACAGCTGTGAAGCTGATAAAGACGGCTTCTATCGTAATTTTTTCACGTTTGCTTTGAATAATCAGAAGTACAGATTATTGTGGTTCCGGAAGGGGATGTGAATCCCCAGGTGGCCCAGTTTAGCGGCCGATTCTGATTTGATGATAACTGCATAGATAATGGAGAGTGGGTTGTTCAGTTATGTGTGGAACATCATTTATCTTTGGTCAGAAGGAACTTTAAGCACAAGTGCTCTCACCGTGTTACCTGAAGGCCACAGACTTCAAGCCAGCTCTAGACTTATTTGGGCCATGTGGCAGTCAGCTTCCGCTGGGGAGCTTCAATGCAAGTTTGTCGTTCAGTTTTGAGTAATCCACTCAACTGATCCCAGAATTGTGCGAGCAAATGAATCAGTTCGCTTCCCTTTGGAGCACGCTAATTTATGTAAGGCTATTTAGTTCACCTCCAAAGTGTATCTATCGCCCAACAATATCGAGTTGATTTAACTGGAAAGCTTTCAGATATAAACGGGCACGGTGTTAATAACCGTTAACTGGGCTAGTGGAAAAGTCTACGAAAGCAACACAGCTTTCAAAACCAACAACAATTGCCTTCGCCGACGAACGTAGGATCCTGTCACGACTACCTATTCTGATTTGTGCCAGGATAACTGTCAGCAACAAACGACTATGATGGCTCATGGGGTTTCCTCGAACAACTAATGAATAGTCTGAGAATTGATAAAGAAGACTGGTAGATAGTGAAGTCTGTGAAATTGGAGAATGCCTTTGCATTAGAAAAATAGTCGCACTCTACTCCAGCAACCGGTCAAAGCAAAGTGGATTAGAACGCTCCGAAAGGGATGGGACCTCCTCAATGCATTCAGAAAGGCTTCGCTTTGAACGATCGGTTGAACACTTTGAGGAACAGTTCAGCTGGCTTCGGTAGACTCGACCTTTGGAAAAGCCACAAGAAACCGAATTGAGCGTCAAAGTCAGTATCCCATAGACAACGGAAGACCAGCATGTACTCTCATCACTTTAGCGCAAGAAAGCACTATTCCCTAACTCGACGGCTTTATTCCAGGATATCTGGGGAAGAGAATGAGAATAGTTTTTGGAACCTCGACGGTGACTGCCTTATTAAAAAGGGCTGCAAAAGGATCATGCGAAAACCACCGAGGTATCAGCTTTATGGCATACAAGATGTTCTGTGGTATAATCTCACGCAGGTTGAACCATCATTAGGAGAGTAAGATTTCGCCCTGAGAAGGTTGAATCGATCATAACTTTACCTTGCGTCACTCTTCCCGATCACCAAAATGATCGTTTTTCCTGTTCTGAAAGCTGTTTTTTTCGACTGCGTCAATCGTTAGAAACGGTGGCAGTTTTTGGCGGCGTCTTCTAAACTCTGCCTTCTCCCGCGGTCGTATACATGTGCACAGCGAATTCTGTCCTGATACCACGTTCAGGGATATAACGAAAGGGTATTCAGTGTGGTCCTTGTTCTTCAACTTTTCAACCGGTGTGCTGCTTCAGTTTGCTTACACAGCATTGAAATACCACTGCAACATGGGCTCGCAGACATGGCGTACGTTGGCAGTATTGCTAATCCTGGATTAGACACTTCATAAATGCAAACCGTTTTAAATGAGCTAAGCAGTTCTGCTGCGTGTTTCGGAAAATAGAAAAATGTTACATTGCAATGTTTAGTGGAACCAAACCCAAAACTCATGCTTGCAGGCGTACCGGTCGATGTGATAAATAAGTTTTTTTCTGTCTGATCAACTGTTTAGGTTACTTGCGAAAAGCCAAATCACTTCGGGAATTACGGGTAGAGTTCACCAACCTCCGGCATTTATGGCCCAGGCGTGATATCAGTTTAGCTGACAGCCATAGAATGTACAGTGTTGCGGATCGGTTATTTATGGATCAGAGACCTTGTCGCTGTGTCCGACAGAGTTACGAAACCCACGGAAGTTATTGGTGCATAAGGATGGGTTGGGATGGACCGCAAATGAGACAGCATGTGAACTCTTAAGAGCTAGATGTGCCGCTTAAAGGTGAATACAATGATTGTGGAGATATTAGAAACGAGATGATTCGTCCATTACTTCCTTTTGGCAAGCCGAAGCGCGCAGATATGATAAGCCACCCAGAAACCAAAAAAAGTGTTTTGTGGACTCCTGTTTTTTGTGAAAGAATAGGTTGGTGTCTTATCCTAAAGACAACAAGCACGCGCGAATTCGCAGATTACAGAGCTCTTACTCTTACTAGTTACAAGTGACAAACATCTTTGTACGCATTAGCAGTTGCGAAATGGAACAAAGTTAAAATTATGTTCCAAAGGTAGGCCATTCCGATGAGAGCCCCCGGTGAATATTCCCTACCAGACACTATAGAATTTTCTTTCTGTGAAAAGCTTTCCACCTCCAGAAATCCCGCCATTTTTTCAGGGAGTTGTTTTTTCCCCACGAAAGGTCCAAAAGCTGGTGACTTATAAGAAACAATGAAAACCCCTGAACTCTAAGAATCTGATCGCAACTCTGAATGACGAGCTATGGACCTCAAGCCAAAGGGCACATGACTTCCAAGCCAATCTGAATCTGTTTGACCTAGTTAAGCCAGCTGAACAGAACTGGGTATGCCATTCCCGATACTGCCCACGTGCGCCACTCGCGTGAATCAGTGGTTCCACTGAACGATGTATAGAATTCTGATGGAGAGAGCTTGACTACTGATGGACTTGAAGCTCGCCACCTTATGCCGCAGTCCATTTAGAATATAACGTTTTCTTAGGTACTTTTGGAAGCGAATGGACAGGTTAGCTTTGGAAAACGAGCTGTACAAATGCATCAACGCAAAGCGACAACAGATGCTGTTCAACTTATCCAGTAATGAGCTTCACATCCACAACTGGAGATAACAGGAATTTAGTAGGAGATGCCTTACCATAGCGTTAGGCGACTAACCCAGTCAAGAAACACTTAAGAGTCTCTGAACATCACTCTATTAAAATTCCACATTCTCGGCAGATTTCAGCAAGTTGGCACACTGAGCTTAGGTGAAATACAAGTCCACTTCCGAATTCCAAACAGATCAAAATAAAGCATTCCCCGTGGTGATTCCTCAGAAGTCACTTTCCGGGCGGAGGACTACTGTACGGGTATTTATTCGTCCGTCGATTTCAGATACTGAGGGCGCCGAAGCTCTATATGGCTGCTGTAGATCTCCACATGACACCCAAGCTTATTGCCAAAAGCATACTTCAGATTGGTAAAAATGGCCAACGACTCGAGTTCTAGTCCTACACAGCTTTCGGCTTGACTGCCGCCCTCTGCCCTAATAATTCGCGTACAAGCTGTTTCAGAAGTAGAAAGATCTTCACCAGAAGAATAACTTCAATCGCGGCTGAATATTCCAGATGGCTCGGGCGGGTTTCACTGATCAGTGTGCTTATTCCTCACAACGAATTGGGGGTAACGAAGGTTAGATTCATCTCATAATCGACCATGTCGTGTACACAGGGCGGTGACCGCAAATATTCCGGTGAATGGAGTCCACGTGGACATGTAGTACAAAATTAGCCTAATAAATTCTTCAGAAGAGCTCCTAGTTAGTTCAGTTTATGGGCTATAAACTAAGAGTTTCATCTCCCAAGGACTGCGTCCGTGTCCTGTCTGTCCAAATTGAACCTGATAACTACGGAAGTCATGTATCATAATATTTTGTCTTGACAAAGCAGTAATGTCAGAAAAATATGTTGCCTAAGCCTTTGATGTTCAACGGGAGTGTGTGAACGTGTACGCTGACCATTGACATTCCGTTATCGAAATGCAGATGAGGCTTCAGATAATACGGCTTATCGGACAGTTACCTCAAATTTCTACCTCAGGACACGGTACCTAAACAAAAGTGAATAAGCTCCATAGAAAATATCAATGAGACCGGTTATGTACGCAAAATTTCTTCCTGTATTTTTATGAACACATGAAAGAATATCACATTGCTGTTGGGTATCTCATACATTCTATAAAACAAGGCAAATTTAAATAAATTGATCCAAATGAGCACCGTCTGTTTCATTACCAACAGTTTCATTGCCTAGCTGATAGATAGTCTTGTGGGCTTTAATACCTAGTCACCAATGTAGCCAACAGTTTGATCTTGACAGTTTTGACGTCTTGAGGTGACTTCTTGGAAGTCATTGCGTGCCCTCTGTAGCCATTCCAAGTGTTCCTCTATCTGTCTTCGTGTGTCAGATCGAGCTCGTTGTTCGGGACGCGGTACAACGTACCCAACTGGCCTGAACTGTTGATTTCGCCGGAACCTTGTGGGCAACATAATTCTGTCCCAGTCTAGCTGTCGGCTATGTCTGTAGGGTGACGAAGACATATTATTCCGTGGCATCGCTGCGAGTGGACTGTAAGGTCGTCCCCGTTCCACCTGATCAGTTCCACTGGGGATATACGAAACGTCAAGCATTGATGCCACTCGTCGCTGGTCAGCTTCTTGGGCGAAAATCCGGTTCAGGTTCAGGCTTATTTCCTGAAGAGAAGCAAGGATCTGTTGCAGAACGACAGGTGATTCAGTTGTGTTACCCTGGGAAAGACGATTGAAGTACGAGGAATTGTCAAAAAAAGGATCGTGAAATAAAGGGTCGGCAGACATCGGGATGGATTCCCTTGTCTGGTGTTGCATCGCAGGATAAGGTTGACCATTAATCAGTCTTGAACGCTGGTCGTTTGTGAAGTTATTGGGGCTTTCACCCTTACAGCGAACTCCCGAAATGTTGACTGGACGCCGGTTTCCAGTTTCCCAAGGCTCATGAAACACATCGGACCGTGTTGCTCCAGGCTGGGAAGTGGGACATGCATCGGCTGCCACTGATGACCGAGGACGTTGTCGCATTCTGCGACGTCTATCTGAAACATCACACACATGGTGATTTCTTCTTTCGAAGTATTGGTTTCCCAAAGTGTCACTGTGCTTGTATTGTTTGTCTGCGTTATCAGCGTCAGAAGGCTCTAGTCCGTTGTCGGTAGTAATAGCACCAACAGGCTTACCCCCATAACTTGGCGGTGTTTCACAAGTGGTGCCATTAATGGTTTTTGTTGTCGAGATCTCCAGATTCGTATCCACTACCCCACTTTGAGCATTGGTATCGCCTACATCCAAGTTCCAACTGTTATTCAAAGAGTTGTTGCCTGATTCTTCCGGAATAGGAGAGCTCACCGAATGCCTGTTGTTTCCGAGCTCAATTAATGGAACATAATCAGGTGTAGTGAGGCGCTCATTCATTCTCTTTACCCTCACAAATCGGAGATCTTTTATATGGGGGACATCCTGCAACGTATCTTGCGCTGAACGAGCACGAAGTGGATCGCCTAAGGTATCATGTGGAAAATCGTTTGGACGGCTTCTTGGTCGGATATCTGGAAGAGTGGCACCTTTCCAAAGATTCGACGGCCCACGATGTCTTCCAACTGTAGAGGCGGAACACAGCTGTTGTTCTTCGTTTAGGGTTGTTACAGGGTCAAGCGATGAATAAGAGGTACGGTACCTAGTCTTCAAACCGTTGCTCGATGTGAGGAACTCAAAGTCATTTACAACACCCGACGTGTCTAGGCTGTCGACAGGAATGTCTTCTGAGCTGATGCGTACATCTTGCAAACTCATAGCCCGTCCGGAGAGCGCTGTACGCTGATTGTGTAACCCATCCTCAGATGTGAGTGCTGAGATCCCGCCCACGTGCCGTGTGTCCATACTGGTGTATTTTCGATTCTTCGGTGGTCTTTTTAATGTTTGAGATACTCGGACATCCGTTACGGATCCTGGGTAAATTCGATGTAATTGCTTTAAATTCGTTCGTTTTCTGCGTTCCTTTATCTGTGCAACCCGTTGTCTGTAGTAAACATCACAAGGATGGTCCCAGATAGAATCACCAGTGGCAAAGTTGAAGTAGTAAATGTCACCATTTATATCCTCACACGGTTTCCACTCGCTGGGTAGTGGTGCATTCAGACCCTCGTACGCCAAAGGCATTAACTCAGGTTCGTTGATCGGATCGATTCCGATGGACTGGGCATACCGCAGAACTTCTTTTTCGGTGAATCGATAGGAAGCATCGTACTGTTCTTCTAGAACCAGCTGACCGTTCCCGTACAGTGTCATTTCCGATGTGCGTTAGCTGGGCTACAAAAGAAAACAAACTCTTTAGTAAGTGAACGAAGAAAAATCTGTTCTAATACAGCACAGTACCCGTAAAAATGTACATCAGTCTGTAAGTTATTTCTTCGCGTGCAGCAAAATTACCCTTCCAAGCAACTTGACAATAAAAAGAATGATAAGACCACCACAAAATATACTGTATTGCTCAGTCGCAAATAGCTCCGAAAACCGCAGAGATTCGAGCTGAATCCTAGAGTTCCATTCGTCATTCGCCTTGCGTGCCATTTGTTTCATAACATTTTCCAAACCAGCTTCTGCTGGTTATGTAATGTAGTAGTTCAGTTCATGTCTTTGGCCCTCCAAGGTAAGGGTTAGAACATGGTAATGCACTGGCATTTCCCGCTCAACACTGCTGCACTGCGATCAGGCTTTCGAGCCAAAGGTTTTGGTTGAGGACCCTAACCGTCCTGTCTAGGTTTGGGCCACATGGAAGTATGCGGTCGACGTGCAACTTCGACGCAACTAAGAATAATCTCATGCCATATCGGCCGTCGCGTGGTGTCACCAACCGTGTCACCTTACCTGCTGCATACACCAGGACGGATAAGCGAAAACATCCTACTGCTGACGCTTTCCTTCTTACACTTTCACATATTCCCTCTTCTAATCTATTACACACCAACGTGAGTATTCTCTTCACAATTCTCAGCACTAGGACTGACTGCTTTGTTCGCCATGCATCACGCTCAGCCGCAGCAACTATATGTTTAACTTCAGTAGCAACCTGTTTTCAAACGCCAAAAGCCTGTCTACTTGACGGTTTTAGTGTTCGTACACTGGAGTGACCAGGACAACAGGTGGCCCTTGATCGTACGCTAGATTCTCTCCCCGTTGGTAGATGCTGTCTGTCGACTGACTGTCCCTCACTCTTTTCCCGGTTCCGGCTGCCCACCTCTGGTAATGCAAAGGGCGCTGCAATTGGATGTGCCAGCGTGGGCATTGTAGTGAGCGAACGAGCGGAGGCGTCTATACTTGATTTGATATCCGTTGACAGTCGCCTCTGTGTGGTTCGTTTGGTGAAATCTGTGAGAGAATCTAGGGGAAGTGAGGCGCATCGCACACTGTTCATTGTGTCTGCTTGCACCCCAACTGAATGTAGCTCTGTATCTGCCAAAGAGTGCTTCCACGACGATCTAGGTAATCTTTTACAACAGATTAAAAGCTCAGATACCATTTATGTTGCTGGTGACATGAATGTTCAGGTAGGTAGAATATAAAAAAAATCGTTCAGCTGTAGCACTCTTTCGGTGATTAGCTGCCATGCCACACGAAGGAAGCACGAGGGCTGGTATACTGCCAGGTCGCCCAAGCCCAGACAGGGAAGGTCGAGAGGCAGAGGTTGGGTTCGAAACACGGACCTTCCGGCCAGTAAATTTGCGCTCTAACCACTTTGTCTTAGCACTGCTGAGGCTTGATTGGGTGGTCGTCTTGGACTGGATATGAGGCACACGGACAACGAAGATCGTCTTCTTCAGATATGTTCCGATCATTCCGAGACAGCGGAAATCGCTTGTCCACGTGACGCATATCAGCGAACCAGTGCCGAATCCACATAGACCACATCGCCGTCAGTTATCTATGGCGAGGGTCGATCACCGCCTGCCGCTCCTTCTGGAACACCAGAGCGCACTCTGGCCATTGACGTATACGCTGCTGCTTTTCACTGATCTTTTCAGGTCTACGAAAAAGGCGCACAGCTCGCTCAGCCAATGAGAAACTAGCCGTCACAGAAATCTGAAAAAACTATCGGAAATGGCTCCTCGAACGCTTGTCGGACGGCCCGGTGTCGAATATAAACGGCCATTGAGAAAAGATATACAAAGCGCTACCGAGAGCCGGAACTTCTGTTGGTGGTAAAACCTGTCCAACGCCATCCAAACATTGGATCTCCAACAGGACCGTGGTTTTGCTGGAGGTCCAGCAACGGGTTCCCCTTGCTCGCAAACACAGCTCAGCTCGACGCATCGTTCGACGCCAGGTGAAGCGCAGTGGCCATGAAGACCGCGAAGCTCAGAGGACCTGAAAGGCATAAAAAAGTGGACGTGCGAAAAAATCGGGACACGTCCACAGGTTATTCCAACTGATCCGTTCGAGTGGTGGTCGAGGGCATCTTGTCAGCAAAACTACCAAGGACCAAAACGGCTTTCTGATGTAAAGCAGAAGAACTTTTGGACCGTCGGTAACAGTATTCAGAACAGCCATTCATTTAGAGACCTGATATCTCCAAACCAGAATCCTGGCCTTCAATAGAAAGGTGGACTGTGAATATGGACCCCCTTTGATCTCAAAAGTGTTCAAGCATCATCGTGCTCCTGATCCAGACGACCTTACACCTACCCTGTTCAAGGATGGCGTTAAGCTTCTCAGTCAGTACCTGCCTAGCCTACTTGCGTCCACCTGGGAGAAAGGGACCGTCACAGACAACGGGGGTGAGTCCGTAACAAGGTTCATTTTGAGATGGGGTACTCGCGATGAATATAGTAACCACGGAGATGTGAGTTTGATCCTCGCTGTAACAACGCCTCCAGCGTCACTGATCCTTCGTCGGCTTAGGGTGGCATGTGAAACTTTGATCCGTGAGCATCAAGGCAGGTTTCCATCGGGTAGAGGATACGTCCACTACATCTTCGCATTCCGCCAGGTGTTAAAGCAACGCCATATGTACAGAGCTGAGTCCAAAGGTGCGTCCGACCCTGCCGACCAGTTCTTGCTGTTAACTATAGTTGCTCAACGGAAGATGCCCCAGAAATTCGCGAACATAATCCAATCCCTACATTCACATACTCCTGAGCGTGAGTGTATGGTGAGCTCTCCAAAAGTCTACCTGAAAAAAAGGGTACCCAACAAGGATGTCCACTCCCTCCATTCTTGTTCAGTTTTGTCGTTGATAAAACAATAGGCGAACGCTTGAAAGTCTTCAAAACTCCGATGTTCAGAGTGCTGCTGGTGAGGACTTTGTCGATCTGGAGTACGCAGACTACGTCGTCATCATCTTTGAGGACAGGTGAAGCACGAAAGGACTGACCACCCTCATCTCATCTTTCGGCATGCGCCTAGTACCTTCAAAGTACAAAGTCATGCTTCAGAACGTGCAGTCTCTGAACATTTACCTTATAATTCAAGGAGAGTCCCTAGAGGTCGTGGGAAATTTCTACAGTCATGCTTCAGAACGTTCAGTCTCTGTACACGATACTTGCAATTCAGAGGAAATCACGAGGTTATTGAGAATTTTACACACCTCGATAGTTGGATTAGCTCTGACCGAAGTGCGTCTGATGAAGTCAGTGCACGAATCCCGAATGTCAGAATCACGTTTACTTTCGGCGTCAAGAGGGCATTTCACTTGACCTCATTAGCCAAGTGTACCAGACTGTGTTTTGGTATGATTGCAAGCCGTGGCCCCTGTGGGCAGATGATTTGAGGGGTATTCAGAAGCATTGCTGATGTCGGATGGCGCCAGAGGATTCATAACGATAAAAACGAGTGGAAATCGGGTATTTTGTTATGCACCAGGTGCTTCTATCGCTGGAAACAACCAGCTCCATCAACTTCGGTTGCTCGGCTGTATGATACGCGCGCTGAAACCTCGTCTACTAAGAGGAGTGTTGTTTTCCACGCCCCCTTCAGAATAGCAGAAACCATGAAGTTAACAACGCATGACTTGGCAGAAGGGTGTGAAAGAGATTACGAAAAGTTTGGGTGTTTTTGGTGCCATACGACTGCCAGGATGAGGTCATCGTGACCCTGGCTGGAGACATCGCATGAAATGGCGGCTGATGTCAGTGGTACTCGTGCTGTCAGCTTCTTCCCAGATTGTCCGAGTGAATGCCTGTATGTTTGGGCACCTCAGAATGTTTGCAATAAGCCACAACCAGATCCCCTTCTTCACCCACACTTCTTTCTTTTCACTCCAAGGCTTTAAATATAGCTAGGTAAACTCTGTGGTTGTACGGTAGTGAAGCGTCAGTGTCAACACTGATGTTGCTATCTTTAATGATGATGATGACGCATCCATCGTACTGCTGGTCAGTCAAAACTTAACAATGCTTATCAACCATATTGGTGTACAAACTATTACCCAATTCGCCCGTCTACCTTCGAGCTTTAACCCACCTTCAAAGCACAGTGTGACTTCGGATCTCCTTATCTCTGTGCCGAGCCACAACCTCTCATAAGACATGCTGTGTGTACATGCATTATGGTGTCTGTCAACCGTCTCATCCGATTTGAATCTAAACACTGAAATTGCATAAATACATTGCTTGAAACAACCACATTAAATGTACAATTACTTTCGATCATGGTAATAGAGTGCAATGGGACTAATTCATTTATTCATTAGACAACTCTCCATGAGCTGCATTCGAACCCAGCAATGCACAGCGGCTCAACCAAAGGATTTTGGGAGATCACATTGCAGTGTTCTTGACTACCAGTAGCATTTACTAGTGAGTTACGCTCTCGAGATGAACAATGTCACAGTCCGTTGGACTCCACTTAAGTAAAGATGCCAATGTTGGTAGTGTGAGGAGATTTGGGATTTTTGTGGAGATTTCGTCCTGTAAGTGAAGCCAATCTATGCTGGAAAGCCGAGAAGCACTGTACAGCTGTTTCATCCTTATTGGGAATCATCAGCAGTGCGCATCTCACGAAACTCCGAAAAGTCTCGAACCCACGACCTCCCGGCTAGTAGTTTGAACACTTAACCGTTCGGCCACGAGTGGCTGATCAGCAGTGTGATTAACTCGCACCTAGACAGGATATAGCGCCGCTCATCCTTCAATCACGGGATCCACATCACGCGGTCACACGTGTACGGTCAAGTGTTCAAGCTGCTAGCCGGGAGGTCGCGGGTTCCAGACTCTTCGGAGTTTCGTGATCTGCGCACTGCTGATGATTCCCAATAAGGATGAAACCAGCTCTAAGTCCTTCTCGGCTTTTCAGCATAGATTGGCTCCAATTACAGGACGAAATCCCACAACAACAAAAAATCCCAAATCTCCTCACACTACCAACAATCTATAAGTAGCTCAGTGGAAGAATAAACTTCACCCGATGAGTGAAACTTCTATCTGAGAAGTCGTTGCTCGAGGAGCCAGTCGACACGTGTGACCGCGTGATGTGGATCCCGTGATTGAAGGATGAGCGGCGCTATATCCTGTCTAGGTGCGAGTTAATCACACTGCTGATCAGCCACTCGTGGCCGAACGGTTAAGTGTTCAAACTACTAGCCGGGAGGTCGCGGGTTCGAAACTCTTCGGAGTTTCGTGAGATGCGCACTGCTGATGATTCCCAATAAGGATGAAACAGCTGTACAGTGCTTCTCGGCTTTCCAGCATAGATTGGCTTCACTTACAGGACGAAATCTCCACAAAAAAGAAGCCAATCCTCGTTATTTGTGGCCGATGGGGAAATCCGGTGTCTACAGAGATAGCGGAATCAGCAACGGAAATTGACTGGCCGGAAAGTTTGATGAAAGATCTGCTGATCCGTTTCCCATGAAACCTGAAAGCTTACCGGAAGAACTGTAGGATATTAGAAAGTAAGTAACTGGAGAAAAGAAAGATAAATACATGGGAAAAGGTCAACAATCTGCACCTGGGTATTAGACGTGATCAATAAATGCCGAATGGTCTTTCAGTTTGAAGCATACGAGAATGGAGAAGCACTGGGTGGTTGGGAAGTACGAGAAACAGAATCAGGTTGGCAGAAAATCACATCTTACAGGGTCTTGAATGGGATAGGGCGCTGTGCTGTGTTGACAAAAGTCCGGCCCAGATCTCTGTATGGCTTTTTCGTATTGGTAAGCGAATCAACCAAAGGCGAAATAACAATGGAGTAAACTTCATGGCTCTGGGTGGTACCTCTGTAGTACAGGAACATCAGGCGGTTCAATCAGATGAAGTTCATTAGGACACCTGGCTGTCCCGTTTTCAGTAAACAGCAAGTAGGAAAAGTGGTATTTCATTGTGACATTTCCTTGATCGGTACCTGCTAATTAACGAGAACACTGTGCCTCTCTCAGATCTCTGCCTATAGGATTGCCCTGCACATGAAAAGAATGTTGGTTGGTGAAAAGGCCTATATATAGCCAGGCCTATATGGACTTCGAGTAAGCTGGATGGTCCGAAAGGCAGGAGAGCGGCCTTTGGAAACTTGAGAATTACGTGGAAGCTTCGCCTTTCCGTGCTGAATCATAAAGGACGTCACGTACCCTGTAACATGTTGATTTTCGGGCTCACTATCGGTTGGCCTCAACATCCTTCCAACAAATATCTGTCATCTTGTGCATATCAAGTTGAAACTACAATCAAGTTATGTTAACAGCCGATCTGAATGACACGTTGAAGATTAGAATGCCAGACATCGGAAGAGCGTGAAAAAATAAGGGAAAACAGGAGACACCAACAGCATCCCGCACATTCTACATGAATCTATCACTCGTCGGTTTTACTCCCTCTGGTAACCTCGACATCCAGCGCTGCCGTAACTTTCAAAAAGACCTCTTTCTTCTCACATCCTTCATCTGTGTAAGTAGTATTTTGCACTTGTAACCAAGTAGACGAATCCGATTGCAAGCATCCCGCAGATAATGCCTTTTTCTGACCTGTTTCTGGAGAAACTGATTAACAGAACGAACAGCTAAAATAAATTGTTTCTACTACTATGGTAAAATACTAAGGTTATGCCGGGTGAGCAGGAACATCACTAACGGAAAAGGAGAAAAACTGGACACTGCAACACAGAACTGTACTAACGTAATTAGAACCATCCGAGAAAAAGACATCATCAATCTGCGATGAGTAGACCACTGAGGATATACATTAGCAGCGTTTCTCATCCAGTTTCATTGTTCCCACTTATATGCAGTTTAAATTACCCACAGTATGGCGATACTTCGTCACCCGAATTGTTTATTTTCAATTTAGGCGAACAAGATGAGCTCAGTCTACACAGAAAAAGCGACACGCAGTTTACATGCAGTTTCATCCCACCGTCGAATCGTCAACGGTGAGCTTCTGACGGCTTTGAAGGAAAACGGAATGACATAAATTTGTTCACGATAAGAAGCTTGAAAACTCCCAAAAAGGACAAAACCGTTGTCAAGAACTTGGTCTTGTATCAATGTTCGATTCTAAGTGTAAACACGTCCTTCTCGTGGCGAAGGCTTTGTCAAGACAGATAGTCTAGCAATGATGTATGAAGGTCTCAAATTGATGGTGACCTCCTCAGTGAGGACGGGGATAGTGGCGCACACATGTTTCGGTCTAACCCAGGTAATTGAGCTAGGAAGCCATATCCACTTAAGTACCTCGTGATAGAGTGGCATTACAATTCTGTAGGCTATTTTAGCATTATGGATCGTAAAATACAATTCACATACAACCGAATTCTCAGGTAGAGTGGTTTTTTTCTCAAAGTAAGGTGTAGTTTTGAATGGGAGGAGCCACGTGCTAATTCGGAAGGGCTTTGAATGTGTTACAAATAAGTTACTTCTTGATTGTTGGTACTTGGTCTGGTATCCGCCTCGAATTGTCGTATCAAGTAAGCTGTGAGGAAGCACCCATCACAAAAGCATCAGGACTGCTGAACTTTCTGTACTAACATCATTTTCTAAAACAGGAGGTACCCGGGTGAGAAAAGTCCAATGTCACGTGAACTTGTTTACTTAGTTCTATGTGCTACCGCACGAAAGGTGCATTCTGGTTGCCACTGGACTTCTCAAACTATTGATTACGCGTGAATAGATAGAAAGCACGATCGATCGATCGTGCTATCGTGAATACGGAATGAGTCCAAAAACACACGAAAACTCTAAAAACAAAACTTCTCGAAGAACCACTAATAAAGCGAGGGAAATTGAGCATCACAAAGAGAAAACTCAAACGATAACCAACTGAAACCCCCCAAAATATAAGAAGCGGTTATAAATCATTCCAACCAGAGTGGTAAACGATGTTATAAGTAGTTCGCTAAGGGAAACACGAAAATATGTGATTCAAAATGTTCAGACGTAGACAAACTAGCATAAAGCAAGCAGAGAATCACTTATCATGCCTTTCATGGCATTCACCTATCAGCGCATTTCACGTAATGAGATAACAGGCAATAGATCGTTGGCGGTTTTCTTCATATGTGATTCGTTAGCATACCATAGCTACCCGCAGGGTTTTACTGCGTCACCACGCGCATCTTCGCTGAACGTACTGGACTTGTTGGCTATGGTTTTCGACTGTTAGCGAAGAGACAAGGAAGACCGAGGCCAGCGAACTTGTATTGTTAGGAAAATACATCCTTGTCGCAAGCCAGTCTAAAGAAGGCGCCATAAAAATGGGGACCGGCACCACAAGCCTGTTCATCATCTATGTGCGAGCGTCATCCGTCAACTCCCTTGAGTTACACCGTAAAAGCGCACCTACCCCAGTACAGCACCATACACACGTCATCGAGAACTACCCATTGACCCACCGTTAGGGTGTTAGTGCATTGTCACTACGAGTGCATGAATCCCCGCAGAGTCACTGTGAAATTCAGAACATGGAGTGACAAGCGTCAATGTTTTCGCGACCTTTCCTTCTCGCCAACAAAGACAATTTTATAAAGACAAACCTAAACGATACCTACAAATAAAACAAGCATAACGTGGAGTGCGTGAGTAAATGTATGAAAAATGTTTAAGTTACGATCGATTTGCCTGAACGGCCAGCAGTCAGGTGAGCAGACCATGGAAGTTTCAGTTTCCGAGTACAAAGACATGAGCTACGCGAGTCAATCGCTATCGCCTCCGTAGACAAACCGGAGCCATTCTAGAGTGTTCTAGAAACAGTATTGGAACTAGTCGCGTGATTGGTGTCAACCGATAAGGGACAATCTCGGTTGCCGGTCAACACCCTCTACTGTGACGACCCACACTTCATATGTGTACAGCACCATGGCGCGTACCTTTGATCTTTTAGCGAGATCATCACCATTATCAGCTGTGCTTATCGTACAGTTGGTCTAGCTATCACAGTTTCGTTCACCGATGATTTTGAGAGGTGGGGTAGATGGCTGCTCATTGAAGACGGTAGATGACTTTTCGCAGAGGAGATTGGGAAGTTCGGTCAATAGTCGAGGACAGGAACTTCAAACCGTATACACTGTCAAACCAACTCAAAAAGCGAACATGGTATATTCGAACCCTGAAAGTAGAAAAACGATGGGCTTCACAGAGACAGCTTTTAAGTTTCAACTATTCATACTGGGGAAACTCTCCTATCGAAGCCACACCTTGGTGAATTCGTGACGTTTTTTTCCGACAAACCATAAGTTAGTGCACGATTCCAGAGATTAGCCCCCAAAATACCCCTTCTTTCATAACGGTTTGCTTCCGTTCTTCTTTTTCAACGTTATACAGACAAATCTCTCTACATCCGATTACGATAGTACATGCACGCGATGAATTCCTAGCTTGAGTTTGTACATCGATTCTTCGTTGAAGGGTGTCCAGCCTGAACGCAAGCAAATGTGAGAAGTAGGAGATTTAAAAGGACTGTCACTCTTGTGTAGTATTACTATGATGGTGTGCTACTAAAAAGGACCAGTTTCTCATCCGTGTTTTGGTTTGCCCAAAGTCCTTCGTAATGAGATGCAACCTTTCGCTCCTAATTACGGTATTCTTTTATTCCCGTGATCACATTTCATAATCATATGACAGTAAAGGACCGATGCCACCGCTTTTCCACAACCACTGACCACGGTCACGCTACAGCTGCGTCGGTATACCCCATCATATGGAACAAACAGAAAGAAACCCTCGGTTATCAAAAATCTATCAAATCTGCTCAGTCGAAGCTAATTAGCGAGAAAACTATCACGAGGAACACTGTGTATTGCGGACTCCAGTTTGGATATTCCCCTGGAATATCAGTATCGTCGCCTAGTAGAAACACATCAACCTGAGTCAAGCAACCCATGACCATACACGGACTATGCGGAGAAATTCATGCGTTTATATGGAATTTTCAGGTTCAATCACTGCGGTCATTGTCATCAAACCTATTGCAAGAACCGACTAGGGACTCCACACATGCAATGGGAGGCGGTTTATTCGGCTTTCGGTCAAAAGAAACCCTCCAAAGGGCACGCAAACACCAAGTTCAGCAGAGATGAAACAGCCATTGTCTCATTTTGACCAAGTGACCGCTAGCTTCCTATGCAAGGTAGTTTCTTATGCAGTATACACATTTACAGACTGAAGCATAGAGAAAAGAAGTGTACCAATTTGCCTTCCCACAAGATAACACGCTGCCAATCTGTCAGCTAAGGGTTTCTCTAACCCAACTGAATCAACCTTCCATTATAATGGTGGCCATTTAGAAGAGATATAAACAAGAAGTCAATTATGGCAGTAAATTATGTTCTCTTCAGGCAGCCCGATTCGACTGAACATAGTCGGTGGCCCTAATTGCTGTCTGGAAATCACATTTGATATCGGTGACTAGGATAACGCACAAACCCAACAAGTGTTGAAAGAGCTAAAGGAAAACAGAGTGCTAGCACATGGTGAG